CCCCCTGGAGAGCCGCCTGTCTTCAAGGCGCGCTACGTGGCCAGAGGTTTCAGTCAGCGCGAGGGGGTTGACTTCTTCCAGACCTTCGCCCCGACCCCGAAGATGACCACTCTTTGGGCGCTGCTACACGTAGCAGCACAGCGTGACTACGAGCTTCACTCCCTCGACTTCTCTACTGCCTTTCTTCAGGGCAGCCTACACGAGCAGGTCTACCTGCGCCGACCACAGGGCTTCACTGGTACCTTCCCTCCTGGGACCCAGTGGCTTCTCAGGCGCCCGGTCTACGGCCTGCGTCAGGCTCCCCGCGAGTGGCACGACACGCTACGTGCCACGTTAGCAGACCTGCAGTTCTTTCCGTCCTCTGCTGACCCTTCACTGTTTGTGCGTTCCGGCCAGACTCCGTTCTACATCCTTGTCTACGTAGACGACCTGGTCTTCGCTACTCCTGACAGGGACGCACTGGCCTCTGTGAAGGCTGAGCTGCTGAAGAGACACACCTGCACTGACCTTGGAGAGCTGCGTCGCTATCTTGGCCTGCAGATCTCTAGGGACAGAGCAGCACGCACCATCACTCTGACCCAGTCACACTTGGTGCGTCAGGTCCTTCAGAGGTTCGGTCTTCAGTTCTCCTCCGCACAGCCCACACCTCTACCCGTAGACCATGGGCTCTCTGCTCCCGTTCCTGAGGAGCCAGTAGAGCCCAGTGGCCCCTACGCAGAGCTGGTGGGTTGCCTCATGTACCTGATGACTTGCACTCGCCCAGATCTCGCATACCCTCTCAGCATCCTGGCTCGCTTTGTGGCTACAGGCAGACACCGACCTCCGCACTGGTCTGCCGCTAAGAGGGTTTTGCGTTATCTTGCTAGTACATCAGGCATGGGGTTAGTGCTAGGAGGACGCAGGCCAGTGGTCCTTACTGGGCACACAGACGCTTCTTGGGCAGACGACGCTGAGACGCTCAGGTCGTCGCAGGGCTACTGTTTCAGCCTTGGTTCGGGTGCTATCTCTTGGAGATCCACTCGCTCGTCGTCTGTGGCTCAGTCTAGCTGTGAGGCTGAGATCTACGCCGGTGCCATGGCGGCACAGGAGCTCCGCTGGCTGACCTTCTTGCTCACAGACTTAGGTGAGCGGCCTAGCTCTGCCCCGGTCCTGTACGCTGACAACAGGGCCATGATACTCCTGTGTCAGGAGCCTCGGCTTGAGGGCAGAGCGAAGCATATCCAGCTGCGGTACTTCCTCCTGCGCGAGCTACAGCAGCGCCGCCAGGCCCGCGTAGTTCACTTGGCCTCAGGTGCCAACACAGCTGATATCTTTACTAAGGCGCTTGCGCCTAAAGATCATCAGCGGCACTGTGTACAGCTTGGTCTTGTTCCTATAGCTGCTCCCCTGTCTCCTGACCCGACTCCTCCATCGCACGTCTGGTCTCACCGTCCTTCCCGTGCTCGTCCTGCCTCGCCTGTCCTGCGCTCCCACCCTATGTTGCTTCGTTCACACGCGTCTCGTCCTCCCCTTCTGCCGTCGCCTCCTCCGTCCTCCCTTGTTGTTGCGCCCCTCCCGCTGTCCGACTACCTTCGTGCCGCTCGTCCCCTCGTTCCTCGGGTCCTTGCCTCTCTCGTTACCGACCCGTCTGTTCCAGTCTCGTGCCTTGACGCTCTTGTCGCTGCTGTCGCTGACTTCGCCTCTACCCGCCGCCTTGACTACGCCACCGCTCTGGTCTCTGACCCTGCCTGTCCTCCGTCTGTCGGGGGTGCTCCTGCCCTTGGCAGTGACGTCCTGGAGGACCGCCAGTTCGAGCTTGCTTTCCTGTCTGAGGCTGCTCCCCATCTCTGTTCCATGCTGCTAGTCCCTGAGGGTGACCCAGACGCTTTCGACATCCCGACCCCTCGCACTTACGCTGAGGCGACTTCGGGACCCTGGGCCTCGCAGTGGATAGCTGCCATGGAGCAGGAGATGGCATCTTGGAGATCCACCGGCACCTTCGTCGACGCAGTTCCCCCACCTGGGGTGAACGTAGTCGATGGCCGCTGGCTCTTCAAGGTGAAGCGCCCTCCTGGAGAGCCGCCTGTCTTCAAGGCGCGCTATGTGGCTAGAGGCTTCAGTCAGCGCGAGGGGGTGGACTTCTTCCAGACTTTCGCTCCGACCCCGAAGATGACTACTCTTCGGGTTCTGTTACACCTAGCTGCTCAGCGTGACTACGAGCTTCACTCTCTCGACTTCTCCACTGCCTTCCTTCAGGGCAGCCTACACGAGCAGGTCTACCTGCGCCGCCCTCCGGGCTTTACTGGCACCTTCCCTCCTGGGACCCAGTGGCTTCTGCGGCGCCCAGTCTACGGCCTGCGCCAGGCTCCCCGTGAGTGGCACGACACTCTCCGTGCTACGCTTGCTGACCTGCAGTTCTTTCCGTCTTCTGCAGACCCTTCACTCTTCGTTCGTGCTGGCCAGACTCCGTTCTACATCCTCGTCTACGTCGACGACCTGGTCTTTGCCACAGCAGACAGGGACGCGCTGGCCTCCGTGAAGGCAGAGCTGCTAAAGAGACACACCTGCACTGACCTTGGAGAACTGCGCCGTTACCTTGGCTTGCAGATCTCCAGGGACAGAGCTGCGCGCACCATCACCCTGACTCAGTCACACTTGGTGCGCCAGGTCCTTCAGAGGTTCAGCCTTCAGTTCTCCTCTGCACAGCCCACCCCTCTGCCTGTAGACCACATGCTCTCCGCTCCAGTGCCTGAGGAGTTGGTAGAGCCCAGCGGCCCCTACGCAGAGCTGGTGGGTTGCCTCATGTACCTGATGACTTGCACTCGCCCAGATCTCGCATACCCTCTCAGCATCCTGGCTCGCTTTGTGGCCACAGGCAGACACCGACCGCAGCAATGGTCTGCCGCTAAGAGGGTTCTGCGTTATCTTCCTAGTACATCGGGCATGGGGTTAGTGCTAGGAGGACGCAGGCCAGCGGTCCTTACTGGGCACACAGACGCTTCGTGGGCAGACGACGCTGAGACACTCCGGTCTACCCAGGGCTACTGCTTCAGCCTTGGCTCAGGTGCCGTCTCGTGGAGAGCTACTCGCTCCTCGTCTGTTGCACAGTCCAGCTGTGAGGCTGAGATCTACGCCGGTGCCATGGCGGCACAGGAGCTCCGCTGGCTGACCTTCTTGCTCACTGACTTAGGTGAGCGACCTAGCTCTGCCCCGGTCCTGTTCGCTGACAACAGGGCCATGATCCTCCTGTGTCAGGAGCCTCGACTCGAGGGCAGAGCGAAGCACATTCAGCTGCGGTACTTCCTCCTGCGTGAGCTACAGCAGCGACGTCAGGCTCGCGTAGTACACTTGGCCTCAGGTGCCAACACGGCTGATATCTTTACGAAGGCGCTTGCGCCTAAAGATCATCAGCGGCACTGTGTACAGCTTGGTCTAGTTCCTGTAGCCTCTCACTTGCTAGGACCTTGACTTTGTACTGTCCTTTATACTGTATGTATACTCAGACTGGACTTGTGTCCTCTCCCAGTGGCTGGACTAGTAGTGCCGCCCTGCTCTTTGCTTGCCTTGTCTGTACTCCTTCTGACTGGTCGCTCAGACCCTTGTCTCAGAGGTTGGACTAGTAGTGCCGCCTTGAGCTGTTTGTTTAGGACTTTCCCCTATGCAGTCTAGGGGGTGTGTCAAACATGTCTATTTGTTATGTTTGTATAGACTGTATAGGGTAGCCTCTTAGAGGGTACAACACTTAGCTATATTGTGTGTACTCTCCCTCTATCACCATCATTCAATTTTCTGATACCACCCACTACGTCTAGCAATCCCAATAATCCTTGTGGGCAGGAGAGCACGCGGAACACATTAGACTTGAGAGTCTGAGACAGACATGTAGGGCTTCCTATCCTATCCCAGCTGAGACAAGGGCAGAATACGCCCTCCCTTCCCAAGCCGATCTTTCAAACGCCGGCTACACAGATGCTCTGATCTGAAGGCAGGATTGCAGGCCTAAGGTGCGGATGAAGGCAGACTGTGCAGTGTTCAGGCTGCGTGTCATTGCAGCAGGGCCTCAGATTGGTTTTAGGGAGGCTGATTGCTCAGGATCGCCCATGTGAGAACCCTGTTTTTCAGGGTCGGGTTTTGGGCGTGGCATATTTTTTCAGGCCAAAAAAAAATTAAGTCTGAATAATCAGGCCTACGTTTTTTTAGTATCTGATTCTTATTTCGGATCGGACTTCACTGCGTACGATGTACCTGTGTGATTTTGGCGGAGGACTCAGAGAACATTCTTACGGTCCTCGCGTCAGACTAACCTGGTGTCAAACTTCAGTTTTCCCGGACCGCAGCTCAGACTTTCAACCCTCGCGTCAGATATGGCGGCACATGCTCAACATCGCGAAAGTCGCAAGTGATGCCACGTGCATGCGTGGTTTTCGCAAATGCATCTTCGCCCAAACCAGCACCTCGTAATTTGCCGAGATTCAGGCACAGGCGTCACCTCGTACCTTGCCGGGAATGCTGTTTATGCAGTCGCAGGGACGGCAAAATTTCGCCGTGGATTTCCAGTTTAGCGAAATTCACGCAGCAATTCGCCACTTTCTGCGGGCTGGTCTGTGCTTTTGGCTAAGGCCCAAACACGCCCCTCACACCTGCTCCAGTTCACATAAAACTACCTATGTCATTCTGGTGAAGGACCAGTCACGCCCCTCACACCTGCTCCAGCTCGCCTAGCGTGATTCTGGTCGACCAGTCACGCCCCTCACACCTGCTCCAGCTCGCCCTGCAGAAAGGATTATGTTTCAGGGCAGATTTCGACTAAGGCTGATTCGTCAGACTCGCAAAAACAAGAACGTACTATTTTTCAGGGTTTAAAACATGGGAACACATAAATTTCAGGTTTGATGAAAATCAAAACCTGAAAAATCAGGGTATGCCCTAAAAAACACCCTGATATACAGGCTTTCAGGCCTTTTTGGCCTGACTTCTGAGGGCCTGCATTGCAGGCATGCAGGACATGCAGGCCTCCGTTCTGTAGTGCACTGTTCTACCATGCACCAGCTGAATATTGCTGATGCCAGATATACGGTGGTGAAGCAGTTTTGCAATCTAGGCACGTGCAATCTAGGCGCGTGCAATCTAGGCACGTGCACAGGTTCATGTTATTTCTTGCTCAAGCGATCTACTTCGCACTGCCATTCCTATCATGTGACGACGAGTGGTGCCCTGCACTACCATGCACTTTCTGAAAAGCGCTGATGCCAGATTTGTAAAGAACAACCTTGCAGGATCGTTCAAGTATTGTCTGCTAACTAACCAACCAGTCTACAGCCAATAGCGCAGGCATGAAGATCCGCTGTTGCGTTGTCATCTCTGTGTGAGAGCAGCCTCTGCCTCACGCCATGACAACAAGGTCAGCCACAACGGCATGGCAGCGGGAGCACAGGGTGGGGTGCTCTGCAAACGACCCAACCCGCTCAGAGTAGTTCCAGCAGCGCTCGCACTTGCTGCCGTCTGCCCTGCCCACTCCCACCAGCACACGTGTGGGCTCCCCCCCCCACTGCACCTCCACGTCTGATGAAAAGTCGAGACCCAGAGGGGCGAGGTCGGACTCAGAGGGGAGGATGTGGACCTGCGAGGGAGGAAGGCATATGTGGTAGAATGATCAGACGAGTTTAAGCAGAAGGACCAGCAGTGAAGGAAAGGCCCGGCAAGAGGGGAGGAAGAGCTACAAAATGCCCGGGGAGAACGTGGGGGAGAATGTGGGGGAGAACGTGAGGGAGAACGTGGGGGAGAATTTGGGGGAGAACGTGGGGGAGAACGTGGGGAAGAACGTGGGGGAGAACGTGGGGGGCAAAGTGGGGGGCAACGTGGGGGGCAACGTGGGGGGCAACGTGGGGGAGAATGTGGGGGGGAATGTGGGGGGGAATGTGGGGGGAAATGTGGGGGGGAATGTGGGGGGGAATGTGGGGGAGAATGTGGGGGAGACTGGTGCACCTGCGAGGAGAGGAAGACGGTGCGAAGGTTGTCCACGGCTTGAAGCTCCTCTGCTCCCTTTGCCCCTGAGGTCTGAACCCCCTCCGCTGCTGCTGCTGCTGCTGCTGCTGCCTCTCCTGTGGCTGCTGCTCCGTTGCCGGAAGCAGGGGAGTCGGAGAGTGCTAGGAGGGTGGAGGCGAGGGAGGCGCTGGGCGTGTGCAGGTACACGGCTGCGTCGAGATTGGCGCCGATGAGCTTGCCCATGCGTGCGCGCTCCATCACCTTGTTGACCTCGGAGCGCAGCTGAGGAAAGAGAAAGGCAGGGGTCCAGGCAGGGAAGCGTGAGGGAAGAGAAACGCAGGGAGCAAAGCGAGAGGCAGGGGTCTGGATAGCCCGTATCAGCTTGCCCATGCGCGCCTGCTCCAGCACCCTGTTCACCTCTGAGCGCAGCTGAGGGAAGGGGAGAGGGAAGGGAAGGGAAAGGGCGAGGTGGATATGAGTGTATGGCTCAGAGCACCCTCCGTGCGCACTTGCTCAACTGCCACTGAGGTTTCCCTCTGATAGAAACAATGGGAAGGGAGCTAGTGGCGTTAAGGGGATAGAGCAAGAGGAGGACTGATATCACGTGATACCAGCAAAACTAAGTCACTTGTCTCCGTGGGAACGCAAAAGATAAAAAGGTGCCGACCGCAATGAATGTGCCTCAATGTTACTCAACGTTACATTTCACCACCAAAAGGGGAAAGGTAATGCAGCCAGGTGCCTGCAATACCTCAATGAGTGTGCCCCATGATTTTGCAGGGTATTTTTGAGAATTCTCAAAAATACCCTACAAGGGAAAGGCATGCAGCCTGCAATACCTCGATGAGTGTGCCCCATGTCGCCAGGTCAGCATCGCCGAACGACAGCCAATCAGCTTCCGGCTTCGGCCACGGCATTTGGAAGACGGAGGGGGACGGCCGGGGGAAGTTGTTGGGAAGGTTCTGCCAGGCGTCCTCAGCCATGTGGGGCAGCACGGGGGCAATGGCTGCTAGGAAGGCGGAGAGGTGGTGGGCTAGCACCGTCTGGCACGCCCTTCTTGTGAGGTAGCCCTGGCCGCTGGATGACAAGATGTGGGGAGGGGGGGAAGGGGGGGGGAGGAAGAGTATGCATAAAGCAGCTCAGCCATGTGGGGCAGCACGGGGGCGATGGCTGCCAGGTAGGCAGAGAGGTGGCGGGCTAGCACCGTCTGGCAGGCTCGCCTTGTGAGGTAGTCCTGGCTGCTGGATGGCAAGATCGGGAGGGAAAAGAGGAAGAGTTTGTTTGATGCAACTCAGCCAGCCATGTGGGGCAGCACGGGGGCGACGGCTGCTAGGAAGGCTGAGAGGTGGCGGGCTAGCACTGTCTGGCAGGCTCGCCTTGTGAGGTAGTCCTGGCCGCTGGGGGCAGAGACGGTTGGACAGGAGAAAACATCGAGGAGAGTGAGTGGGAATGGGCTCTGCCGTGCCGTGTGGGGCACCACGGGGGCGATGGCTGCTAGGAAGGCGGAGAGGTGGCGGGCTAGGACTGTCTGGCGCACCCTTCTTGTGAGGTAGTCCTCTTGGCCCCAGGAGGAGGGGATATAAGAAATAGGTTGGCAGAGGGGGAAAGAGTGGGACGAATAAGCAGGTGGGAAGCAGGTCTGGCATGGGGGCAGCACAGGGGCGATGGCTGGTAGGAAGGCAAAGAGGTGGTGGGCTTTAACGGCTTGATATGCCCTCCTTGTGAGATAGTCCTGCCCCTAACCGCACACATCACCTACACACATAGCACCTACCCCACACAGATAGCACCTACCCCACATAGAGCCTGTCTTTGCAGACATCAAAGTAGAAGTTTGAAAGGTCCACGACTGCAAAGCGCTGGATGAGCTGCACGCGATGGTCACAGTGGGTACGGAAATTTGGATGGGCACAGCAGGGAAGGAGATTTGGAGAAGGGCGGAGCGGAGGACAGAGGGAGAGAAAAAGATGATAAGGAGGAAGGAAAGAGAGAAAGTTCAGAGAGGTCAGGAAACAGGTGTGGAGGAAGTTGGGAAAAGCGGCCACTCCAAAGTCCAAGATCAACGCAAAATGGGAAAAAGGGGAGTAAGTGATGGATCAGGGGAGGGGGGAGGAGGAAGACGAACGAGTTAATGGAGATACTGAAGCCCATTCAACTGGCCTTAGGGCGACAGGCAGTTGCGGTGGTGACGGGTGGTGATGGGTGGTGACGGGTGGTGACAGGCGGTGACAGAGGGGCATATGCTGGGAAGGTACCTGGTAGAAGCGGTAGAACTGGAAGTCCTCGTAGCTCTGCTGCACCTCCCCCATCACATCCGCCAAGCGGCGCAGGGCGTAGCGGTCCAGAGCTGGGAGCTGCACATAGGGGACTGCTTCCGAGGGCTGGGGAGAGGGGGAGAGGGGGAGAGGGGGAGAGGGGGAGAGGGGGAGAGGGGGAGAGGGGGAGAAGGGGAGAGGGGGAGAGGGGGAGAGGGGGAGAGGGGGAGAGGGGGAGAGGGGAGAGGGGAGAGGGGGAGAGGGGGAGAAGGGGAGAGGGGGAGAGGGGGAGAGGGGGAGAGGGGAAGGGGCATGGCATCACATTCGCCAAGCGGCACCAGGCGCACAGGTTACGGGAGGTGGCGGACAGTGACGGGCGGTGGCGGGCGGTGGCGGGCGGTGGCGGGCGGTGGCGGGCGGTGACGGGCGGTGACGGGCGGTGATGGGCGGTGACGGGCGGAGACGGACGGTGGCGGGCGGAGACGGGCGATGACAGGCGGTGGCGGTCATTGGCCGGCGGTGACGGTCTGTGACAGGCAGTGAGGGGCGGTGACGGGCGACAGGTGGTAACGGGCGGTGGCGGGCGGTGACGGGGTGATGCGTGGTTAAGGGCAATGGGTGGTGGGACGGTGGGAGGTGGGCGCGGTGACAGGCGGGGAAGGGTGGTGAAGGGCGGTTAAGGGCAGTAGGCGGTAGATTTCCAAGTCCCTGATCTGCTTCACTATGTTGGGATCAAAGTCAGCAGAAGTCAACGGAGGTCAACGGGGGTCAACGGAAGTCAACAGAGGTGAATAGAGAGTCAGCGCACCTCATAGTCGTGCAGGTTGCCCAGCATGAACCGCAGCGTGCCCCTGAGCTTCCGGTAGACATCCCCCATCTGCTTCACTATGTTGGGCCCGATCACCACGTCCCCCGAGTAGTCCACTGACGCCACCCACAGCCGCAGCACGTCTGCTCCATAGGCTGGCTCCGTCTGTCATGCACAGGGGGTGTGGGGCACATGGGGGGGGGGGGCACATGGGGTGTGGTGCACATGGGGGGGTGGGGCACATGGGGGGTGTGAAGGGGCATGTGTGAACGGGCATGGAAGGTAGACGTCGCCCATCTGCTTCACTATGTTGGGGTAGGTCGGATCACCACATCTCCCGAGTCCACTAACGCCATCCACAGCCGCAGCATACACCTACACCCACCTTCTGGTTCTTTCCTCCGTTGATCACAGTCAAGTGCTCCACCACGTTCCCCACGGACTTGCTCATCTTCATCCCGCGCTCGTCCAGCATAAACCCGTGCGCCGCGCCGTGCTGGCCACCGCCACGTGTGTGAGTAGCACACACTGTGGGCGTGCCATCTACCAGTGATAACAGCACCAAACACCTGTTCTCACACTCACCTTCTGGTTCTTCCCCCCGTTGATGACTGTCAGCGGATCCACCACGTTCCCCACGGACTTGCTCATCTTCATGCCCCTCTCGTCCAGCACAAACCCGTGCGTCAGCACCGCCTTGTACGGAGCAGTGCCGGCCGCCGCCACGCCCGTGAGCAGCGAGCTTTGGAACCATCCGCGGTGCTGGTCGCTGCCCTCCAGATACAGGTCCGCGGGGAAGTTGAGCCCCTGGGACTCGGAAATCAGTGTCTTAGACTCAGCACCCGATGCGCTTTCAGAAACAGCACCCCTGGTATCTGAGCCGGAGCTGGAGGCCGAGGCGGAGGCAGAGGCACCGTTGAGCACAGTGGCCCAGGAGGAGCCTGAGTCGAACCACACGTCCATGGTGTCGGTGCCCTTGCGGTACAAGGGGGCCTGGTCGCACAGGGAAGGGGGCAGGAGGTCCGCCACCTCCATCTCCCACCACGCGTCACTGCCCTTCTCTGTGGGTTGGGGGGTGGGGAGAGGAGAGGAGAGAGTGGGGAGAGAGCGACGGAGGGAGTAAGTGCGTCGAAAAGTGGGAGGAAGGGAGGGGGTGAGTGAAACTATGGCTTGCAAGTGCACAGTGGTCTTCTCTGTAAGCAGCGGCTCTCCGGTCTCAATACGGCAGAATGCTGGGATGAGCGCGCCCCAGCCCCATGAGTGCTCGTGCATTCAGCCCCAGCTTCCCCTTCACCCCCCGCACCTTCCACTATGGCCTGCACTTGGTATCCTCTGTCAGTAGCGGCTCCCCTGTCTTAACGTGGTAGAAGGCCAGGATGGGCACGCCCCACGAGCACTGCCGGGATAGCTCCACCTGCACCAAATTCCGTTCCAACAACTCACCTGCCACTAAAGCCTGTACATGTGCAATCGCCTCTTCTGTCAGCAGCGTCTCTCCCATTTCGGCGTGGTAGAATGCAGGGAGGGATGGGCACGCCCCATGAGCACTTGTTTGTGCAGCCCCATATTCTCGTTTACCCCCCTCACCTGCCACTATGGCTTGCACATGTGTGATGGTCTCTTCAGTGAGCAGCGGCTCGCCCGTCTCGGCGTGGTAGAAGGCGGGGATGGGCACGCCCCATGAGCGCTGCCTGGAGATGCACCAGTCGGAGCGCCCCTCCACCATGGCTGTGATGCGCTTCTCGCCCTGTGGAGTGCGGTGGTATGGGGTGGGAAGGGGTGGAGGGAGGGGAGAGGGGTCAACTGCAGTGCATGTGATGAGATGCACCAATCAGAGAAGCCTTCCACCATGGCATGCGTTTCTCACCCTGTGAAGGGTGCAGTGCGGTGGGAAGGGGTGGGGTGGGGTGGGATGATGATGCCACATTGGCACACTGAAACAAGCAGAGGCATGGAGACAGTGATAAGAGAGACACACAGCGGGTGAAGGACAAGAAAGGGTGCGACCAAGAAAGGGACACACTTGGCTAAGACCAAGTTATCTTGCCTGAGGGGGGAACCAGTTGACTCCCCTGATTGCCTCCAGCGCCTCCTGTTTAAAGCCCTGCACTGAGGCGAACCACTGGTCCGTGGCGCGGAATATGGTGGGCTGCTTGCTGCGCCAGTCGTACGGGTACTTGTGCTCTGGTGGGGTGGTGAGAGGGGAGAGGGGAGGGGGGAGGGGGGAGAGGGGAGGTGAGAATGGGATGTACAAGGCCAGTCATAGGGGCACTTAGAGCCTGGTGGGGCGGAATATGGTGGGCTGCTTGCTGCGCCAGTCGTTCGGGTACTTTTGCTCTGAGGGAGAGGAGGAAGAGATGCGAAGGGAAATGCGATGGGTAAGGCACTCATCACAATTTCACTTATTCTGACTCACTCACACTCATTTACACTCATATACACTCATATACACCCATATACACTCATATACACTCATATACACCCATATACATTCATATACACTCATTCACAATCACCACACACTCACCATAAGCCTCTTCCAGCAGCAGTGACTTGTTGCCATCCAGAGCAGGCATCACCGCCACTCCACATTGCCCTCCCCCAGCACACTCAGCTGTCACTCACGATACACTCACACCCACTGCATACGTACATCCACAGACCCATTCACACACTCACCATAAGCCTCTTCCAGCAGCAGTGACTTGTTGCTATCCAGAGCAGCCATCACCGCCACATTGCCCTCCCCCAGCACGCTCAGCCCCTCAAACTCCCCCCCCTTCGCCTCGCCCGTAAACCTCCCATCATCGTCCACAGGGGAGATTAACTCTAGACCGTACTTAAGCCCTGTCGCATAGTCCTCCTGCCCGTGCCCCGGCGCCGTGTGCACCAATCCCGTTCCGGATTCTGTCGTGATGTAATCCCCCCCCACCACTACGGGACAGATTCTGCCGTCCAGCGGGTGCTGGTAGGTGGAGCCCTCGAGGTGGGACCCGAGGAAGGTGGCGACTGGGGTGAGGGAGCAGTGCCACGTGGCCTGCAGGGATTGGAGGAGGTCTGTTGCCACGATGACGTAGCGCGTGGTAGGAGTGTCAGCAGACGGAGTGGAGCAAAGGGAGGAGAGGAGAGAGCCGGCGTTTCTCTTGCCCTTGCCAAACGACGGGGGAGCAGGGTCAGCAGCAGTAACAGCATCATCACCACTAGCACTACCATCAGCACCATCAGCAGCAGCAGCAGGAGCAGGAGGGCCGATCTCAGCGACGGAGTAGGAGATCTTATCGTTGACAGCGACTGCAGCGTTGCCGGGGATGGTCCACGGGGTGGTGGTCCAGATGGTGAGCGACAGGGAGGGCAGGAGAGGAGTGAGGGATGGGGGGAGGGAGGAGGAGAGCGAGCGCAGGGGGAAGGTGGTGTAGATGCTGCGAGACACATGCACGTCTGGGTACTGGTGGGCATGGGAGGGAAAGGGGGCAAGCGGAGAGGAGGAATGAGGGGCAAGCAGAGAGGAGGAATGAGGGGGGAGAGGGGGCTTGAGCACATCTCAGACTCCGCTCACTCCCCCACAACCCACAGGTGGTCCAGTGTTTCCGGGGATGGTCCGGGGGGTGGTGGAGGAAAGAGAGCAAGCAGGGAGGGGGACCTTGAAAGGAAATGACCCGAACAGATCTCAGAAACTGCCCAATGGTTGCAGCGGATGGTCCAGGGGGTGGTGGTCCAGATGGCGAGGGCGAGCGAGAGCAGAAGGCAGGGAACGTTCACAAGGGGGCCGTCACATTACACACACGTCCACATTCCGTACACTAGCAACCGGATTCCCATCCCAGCCTCCCTCCATACCTCGAGCTCAGCCTCGGCGAGGGCTGTCCGTGACGAGGGGCTCCAGTGCACGGGCTTGCGGCCGCGGTAGATGTGGCCGTTGAGGAACATGCGGGCGAACACGCCCACCTGCCCCGCCTCGTACGCCGGCTGCAGCGTCAGGTAGGGGCGCGCCCAGTCGCCCCACACGCCGTAGCGCTTGAAGGACTCCCGCTGCTTGTCCACGGTCTTCAATGCGAATTGGGCAGCCTTTTTCCGGAGCTTGATGGGCGTCAGACCCTGCCTGGCCTTGCTGTCCATCGACTGCAGCACTGCTTGGGGGGGGGGGAGAGAGCAAGGTAAAACGAGGATGGCGTGTAAGGGGGAGAATAGGAAAGTAGGGGAACGACGCCCTCTGCTTGTCCACTGTCTTGAGGGCGAACCAAGATGCCTTTTCCCTGGGCATGATAGGGGTTAGGTCCTCCGGTAACTTTGAGTCCCAGGAGTAACCCATGGCAGTCCCAGCCTGCATCCAATGAGTTTCGCCCAATTACTGCACTGCCCCCCCCTTCACCCCACACATTGCCCCCATGCGGCCGCACCTTTGAGCTCGATGGGCAGCCCATGGCAGTCCCAGCCTGGCACGAACTTCACCTTGCGCCCCTGCAGCATCTGGGGGCGCAGAGCGGAGGGGAGATGGCAGAGGGAAAGGCAGCGGAGGAGGCAGGAAGGTGAGGACGGAGGAAGGTGAGGACGGAGGAAGGAGGGTGAAGAGAGAGGATATCACACCTGGTAGCGGTTGATGAAGTCTTTAAGTATCTTGTTGAGCGCATGGCCGATGTGCAGGTCGCCATTGGCGTAGGGCGGCCCATCGTGCAGCGTGAAGGGCTCCTGATGGGTGGGGGGAGGGAAGGGGGGGAGGGAAGGGGGGGAGGGAAGGGGGGGAGGGAAGGGGGGGAGGGAAGGGGGGGAGGGAAGGGGGGAGGGAAGGGGGGGAGGGAAGGGGGGGAGGGAAGGGGGGGAGAGTGGAGAATGGTGGAGTCACGACCATGGCCCATGGGGCGATGTCCAGCCATGGAGGGCGTCCAGCTATGGAGGGCGTCCAGCTATGGAGGGCGTCCAGCTATAAAAGGCGTCCAGTTTCTGTATCTCTGGCTCCCTCACGCTCGCACTCGCGCACATGCTGCAGCAACCACTCTCTCTATTCTGCAGAGATCGCTCGAGGCTCGCACCGACTCACCCAAGGGTTATTCTCCAGCAGTGCCTTCGCCACGTCAAAGCTCTTTCCACGGTTTCTGGATCTCCGGCTCCCTCACGCTCGCATTGGCGCGCATGCCGGCGCTCGTCTGCAGGAGGCACACCGTGCCCTTGTACTTGCCCAAACCGTCCCAGCATGCCACAACCGCCACAAACTCACCCCAGGGTTAGTTTCCAGCAGTGTCTTCGCCACGTCTAGCTCCTCCCATAGCTTTTGAATTTCCGGCTCTCTCGTGCTCGCATTGGCGCGCATGCCGAAGCTCGTCTGCGGGAGGCACACCGTGCCCTTGTACTTCCCCCCCTCCTGCTCCGCGCCCCCCTCCTCCCCGCCCTTCCGCTTCCCCCGCGCCTCCACCGCCAGCCTCCGCGCGCGCCCTACGTGCCCCGCCCCCGGGGCCCCGCCCAACACCGTAGCGCCCGCGGGGACTGTAGGGAGGGTGATTGTAGCGGGGGCGGTTGCACCGAGGCCCCAATGCCGGCTGCTGCTGCTGCGGGGGAATCCCAGGGTGGGGGGGAGAAACGCGGACCGCAGGCTCTGTGCGGATGCGCGCGTGCCTTTCCGCGCGCGCGAGGCCGCGGGAGCGGAGGGGGCGGCGGAGAGGGAAGTGGAGAGGCACGGGGCGGCGGGGAGCGCGCTCGGCGCGCAGCATATGCAGCGCATTCTGCCGCAAAGCGTGGAGAGCGCGGGGGAACGCGCGGCGGACGAGAGGAGGTGGGTTCCGGAGGACTGCTGCGGGGGAGGGGGGGGGGGGGGAGGAGGGGGAGGGAATGGGCGGAACTGATCGACGACGTTGAAGATCATCAGTAGCGTGCGGCTTATGATTGCGCCCGATGCACACGAGCGACAGTCGGAATGATCAATGCGCGTCGTGTCGTGTTTTGAGGCGCCTCAGAAGTCAATGCGCGTCGTGTCGTGTTTTGAGGCGCCTCAAAAGTCAATGTGTGTCGTGTCGTGAACGCATCATGTCGTGCACGCGGAGCCTCACCATGTCAGCCGCTTGGCTCGGTCCAATGCTATCGATAGGACGGATTCGATCGCGGCAAGCCTCAGCCGCTTAGCTTGGTCCGACCCGGCTTTGACAATCGACTCGTTTCGCAGCTGTTGCCGCGAAAGCCCCGAAAACGAGCACTCGCTCGGCCCGAGCGCCTTGAATTATTACCCCTGACACTCGTAAGTCGAGACGAGTCCAGATACCAGCAGTGCAATAATCTGCGCTCTTTAGAGGAGAGGAGGGTCGCGGGAAGCTTGGGATGGGTTGTGGTGTGGATGTGGGTGTGTCCGCTCCACGTCAGCACGCATACGTGCGCCACAGCATGCCACGAATTGGTGAATGGAAGTGGCCTTTTACATATAGATATGCATTTGTCAAATTTGGGCTAACATAATCGGAAATAAGTAGGCGCGAAGTTTCATAACGAGGCTTCTTTCGACCTGGTGATAAATCCATCCTCTGTACAAGCAAACTGCGCTTTGATCGCAGATCGATTTGTTTCGGGACACTGGACATACATTATTGCTCCAACCACATTCACAAAGACCTGTCCCCGAAACCCTAAAGCTGCATCCCTACATGTTCACCTGCAGTAGGTCCTTCATGCCCAAGCTTCCTTCCATTTCAATCTGCGCATTCCATTCCCCCCATCGCTGGCATATGATACCTCAGCCAACGGTCATATATTGACACGAATCATCGTCCATCGCTACTGCTGCCGCCATGGCGTCAGGACACGCCGCTCCCTCGCAAACCCTGCACCCGCCAAACCCTAGAGCTCCCGACGCTCCGTCGCTCGACTTCCAGGGCGTGACGGCGGCGATCGCGGCGTTGGCGGGCGCCGTGCGCGCGCTCCCCGAGGAGGACGACTTCCACTTCTACTGCAACTTCGCCGCCTTCCGCGCGCGCGTCTCCGCGCTCCGCCACCGCGTGCGCGCGCTGCTCTCCCGCCTCGGCCCGCCGGCGCCGCCCGCCGCGTGGGCTTCCGCCGCAGGGGGAAGCGGAAACGTGGGCGGCGGCGATGATGACGATGCTGACGTGGACGACACGTATGATTGGCTGGTCGACGTGCTGGATAACCGGCTGGAGAAGGTCGACGTGGCACTAGACGAGATGCGGAAAAAGCGGAAGAAGGCGCAGCCGGATTGGCAGGGCCTGGAGGAGGAAGAGGCGGAGCAGCGGCGGGAAGCGCTCCTGCGGGAGGCGGGCGCGTTCGGCTCCGGCCTCGCGGACGCCGCCTTTTCCGCGCCCAAGGCGGGCGGAAAGCAGCAAGCAGGCGGAAGCGGCGGAGGAAGCCTGCCAGCCGCGGAGATCGCCACGTCAGCTGCCAGCTGGCGGCGGAGCCTGCGCGGAAAAAGCCGGCCGCAGGACGCGTTCGAGCCGTCTGTGGACAACTCCGACGCGCCTTTCTCGCTGCCGCGCCTCGAGTTTATTGAGAAGATTAGGCGAGAGGCGGAAGCGGAAAGCGCGGGGGAGGAGAGTGCGGAGGAGGAGGGGGCCGAGGGAGGACGGGCTGGGGGGGAGTTGGAAGAAGGGGAGGAGGTGGCGGAAGGGGACGGGGGGGAGGAGGGGTTGAAGGAGAAGGCGGAGAAGGGTAGGGAGGAAGCGGAGAAGATGGGCGGAAGGGGAACGGGGAGGGGCAGGGGGCCTCCGCGGCTGAAGTGGAGGGCGCTTAAGGAGCGCCATCCCCTATGGGTAAGGATTCTGGGTTTTGAGGGATTCTGTGTTTTGAGGGATTAAGGGTTTTGAGGGATTCAGGGTTTTGAGGGATTCAGGGTTTTGAGGGATTCAGGGTTTTGAGCGCCACCGCCTGGTAAGGATTGAGGGTAGTGAGACGTGTTAACACACGGGCAGGGTTCCAGGGTCCTTGCCATGCCCTACCTGCCTCCTCGCCTCTCCCGCCCTCCCTCCCTTCCGTTGCACTCCCCGCTTTCTGATCCGTCCCTATACCACTCCTCTCCTCCTCCCCCCCACCCCCCAAACCTCTCCTGTTTCTTGCTTCCTCCTCGCCCCCCCTCCTCTTGCTTGCGTTCCCAACGCATTCCCCCAGCATCGGCTTCGGCACATCACCTACCAGCCGTGGCAGCTCCGCCATCCGAACCTCCCACCGCGAGCCACCTCTGCCGAACCAACCCCAGGCGCGGCAACAGCACCACCACCAGCCACGGACCTAGTATCCCTACCGCCTCTGCCGCCCTCCTTAGAAGACACCCCCTTCGCATATGTAGAAACTAAGGAGCAGCTGGCGGCTATGGCGGAGGAGATTAAAGCGGAGCGGGAGGTGGCGGTGGACCTGGAGAACCACAACTACCGGTCGTTCCAGGGGTTCCTGTGCCTGCTGCAGCTGTCCACGCGCTCCAAGGACTACATTGTGGATACCATCGGCCTCAGGACGGAGATTGGGCCCCTTCTGGGACCCATGTTTGCTGATCCTGGCGTGGTTAAGGTGCGTTGTGCGGAGATTGGGCCGATGCTGGGACCCATGTTTGCCAATCCAGGCATAGTCAAGGTGGGTTGTTGTTGTCAAGGTGGGTTGTTGTTGTCAAGGTGGGTTGTTGTTGTCAAGGTGGGTTGTTCTTGTCAAGGTGGGTTGTTCTTGTCAAGGTGGTTTGTTCTTGTCAAGGTGGTTTGTTCTTGTCAAGGTGGGTTGTTCTGGTCACGGTGGACTACATTGTGGCCTTTGTTCTCTCCCATCCTCACTACTCTTTCTGCCTGCTCTTGTTCTTTACCTTCCCCCCTCCCTTCGCCCCTCCCCCCCACATCCGCACACCCCCTTACCCCAGGTGATGCACGGTGCGGACAGCGACGTGGTGTGGCTGCAGAGGGACTTTGGCATTTTCATTGCGAATCTCTTCGACACGGGGCAGGCCGCCCGCGTGCTGGACATGGAGCGCTTCGGCCTGGCCTATCTGCTCAAGCGGTACTGCGGGGTGACGGCCAACAAGAGCCTGCAGATGGCGGACTGGCGGCTCCGCCCGCTGCCGGCCGACATGGTGAAATACGCCCGCGAGGACACCCACTACCTGCTGTTCCTGCATGACTGCTTGAGGCTCGAGCTGGCTGCTGCTTCTGCGGGCTCGCGTGACTGCTTGAGGCTGGAGCTGGCTGCTGGTTTTGAGAAGGACAAGACGCAAGAGGGTGGTGGGTCGGATAAGACAGAAGAGCCCACTGGGGTGGAGAAGACAGAAGAGCCCACTGGGATGGAGAAGACAGAAGAGCCGAGTGGCGGAGGAGAGGGGAAGGAAGAGGGGGAAGAGGAGGAGGAAGGGGAGGTGCATGATGATGATGAGGAGGAGGAGGAGGGGGAGGAACAGGCGGGAGGAGAGGACGGAGGAGGAGGAGGGAAGGGGAGAAGTTATGGCGAGCCGTGCCCTGCCATCCTTGAGGCAAGTGTTTGTGTTCGTCCTTGTTTTCTATTGCAATAACATATTTCTTTCTGTGCTGTGATTTCGTAGCCTTTCCACAGAGACAGCTTGAGACAGCAAGTCATTATGGGCATGGCACGCACCTCGCGCAGTCCCCGAGCTCACGGTTGCTGGTGTCCCGCGTTTCTCTCCTCCCTCCCACCCCTCGTCTCTCCTACCCACCCACCCACCCACCCACCCACCCACCCACCCACCCCAGGTTCTCACGCGCAGCCGGGACGTGTGTCTGCTGCTCTACTCCAAGCCTACTCCCAGTGGCCTAGACGTCGCCTCATGCCCACCCGTAATGGCCCTAACACCTCTCCCCCCTCCCTCGTTGATTCTCCCCACCCCAGGTCCTCACGCGCAGCCGGGACGTGTGTCTGCTGCTATACGCCAAGCCGCAGCGTGCCTTCCACTCCTTCCTCCGGAATAACAGGTCTGTCGCCAGCTGTGCATCTTCTCGGGGGCTAGTGAGCTGGGGTGTTTTGAGCCAGGGTGGGGGTAGTGAACGGGGGGGGGGGTTCTCACTCGCAGCAGGGACGTGTGTCTGCTGCTCTACGCCAAGACGCAGCGCTCCTTCCACTCCTTCCTCCGGAGTAACAGGTGGGTCTTCAAGTGTGGGTCTTAACGGGGGGGTAGTGGGCGGTGTGGGGGGGGGGAGAGTGAGCTGGGGGGTAATGACGTGGGCAAGCGTAATTTGGGGGGGGGGGGAGGTGGGGGGGCGTGGTGAGCCAGGGGGGAGTGAACCGGGTGGTAGTGAGCTGGCGGGTAGTGATCCAGGGGCTAGTGAGCCGGGTTGTTGGGCGCAATTTTCCTCTACAGCGGTGAAGGCCGTGCAGAACGTGTTCTTGTCATGGTTTGAAGTCATGGTGTGAAGTCATGGTGTGAAGTCATGGTGTGAAGTCATGGTGTGAAGTCATGGTTTGAAGTCATGGTGTGAAGTCATGGTGTGAAGTCATGGTTTGAAGTCATGGTGTGAAGTCATGGTGTGAAGTCATGGTGTGAATGAAGTCATGGTGTGAAGTCATGGTGTGAAGTCATGGTTTGAAGTCATGGTTTGAAGTCATGGTGTGAATTCATGGTGTGAAGTCATGGTGTGAAGTCATGGTGTGAAGTCATGGTTTGAAGTCATGGTGTGAAGTCATGGTGTGAAGTCATGGTTTGAAGTCATGGTGTGAAGTCATGGTGTGAAGTCATGGTGTGAAGTCATGGTGTGAAGTCATGGTGTGAAGTCATGGTTTGAAGTCATGGTGTGAAGTCATGGTGTGAAGTCATGGTGTGAATGAAGTCATGGTGTGAAGTCATGGTGTGAAGTCATGGTTTGAAGTCATGGTTTGAAGTCATGGTGTGAATTCATGGTGTGAAGTCATGGTGTGAAGTCATGGTGTGAAGTCATGGTTTGAAGTCATGGTGTGAAGTCATGGTGTGAAGTCATGGTTTGAAGTCATGGTGTGAAGTCATGGTGTGAAGTCATGGTGTGAAGTCATGGTGTGAAGTCATGGTGTGAAGTCGTGGTTTGAAGTCATGGTTTGAAGTCATGGTGTGAAGTCATGGTGTGAAGTCATGGTGTGAAGTCATGGTGTGAAGTCATGGTGTGAAGTTATGGTGTGAAGTCATGGTGTGAAGTCATGGTGTGAAGTCATGGTGTGAATTCATGGTTTGAAGTCATGGTTTGAAGTCATGGTGTGAAGTCATGGTTTGAATCTACCGCCTTGGTATGCCTTTCTGTGTTCTCCCGTGGTTGTCTTGATATTCGATCTTTCTTCATCCCCCTGCTTGCTTCCCAAACAGGCTGAGCACGGAAGGATTCAGCGACGAGCAGATGGCTGTTCTCTCTGTAAGCTGATGCGTTTTAGCCATGAAATTCACATCTAGTGATCGCGCGAAAAAGCTCACGTTCCCGCCCGCTCTCCCTCTCTTCCATGGGCCATGCTTTATCCGTTCGTCCTCTATCCATGTCATCCGCCCATCCATGCCACGTCATCCCTGTCAGGCGTTGTACAAGTGGCGCGATCAGACAGGTCGGGAGTGTGACGAGGGGCTCGGATACGTGATGCCCAACCACCTGCTGCTCAAAGTCGGTGCGTGCATCAAAGTCGGTGCGTGCATCAAAGTCGGTGCGTGCATCAAAGTCGGTGCGTGCATCAAAGTCGGTGCGTGCATCAAAGCCGGTGCGTGCGTGCATCAAAGTCGGTGCATGCATCACAGCCTGGGACATGGTTTCTGAGTCAGTGCAGATATGAGAGGGCGATGACTAGATTTCTCAAAGGCCGCCCAATACAGTTTGAGTCTCTCATGACTAGACGAGGGGCTCGGATACATGTTGCCCAACCACCTGCTGCTCAAAGCCAGTGCATGCATCACAGTCCAAGACATGGTTTCTGAGTTGTTGCGTGCATGGGAGTTGGTGCAAACTTGAGAGATAGGAAGTTTCTCGGTCCGTGTGTGTGTGTGTGTGTGTTTTCTTTCTTTTTTTCCTTTTTTTTTCCCCGTCTCGTTTATTCAAAGCCATTTTGCATCTTCGCCATTCCCCCCCTCCCCCCCACTTTTCCCCGTCCCCTTCCAGCTCGTGACATGCCCACCACCGAACGTGCTCTCCGAACCTGCCTCCGAGGTTCGGCTCCTCTGGTGGCTCGGAACGCTGCCACCATAATCCGGATGATCAGCCAGATAAAAGATTCTGCTGACCTGGCAACTTCCACCCTGGAATCGCCAGCTGTCGTCGCTGCGCGCCATGCTGCCACGTCAGCCAATGACCCCTTTGCTGCCGGCGCTCCTGCTGCTGCGGCTGCGGCTGCTGCTGTTGCTGCTGCTGCTGCTCGTGCTGCAGCTGGTGCTGCTGGTGTGGGTGCGGCTGCTGCTGGTGCGGGTGCTAGCACCGCTCTTGGCTCTGCTGTATCCGCTGCTGCACCGGCTGTAGCAGCGGCTGTAGCAAAGGTGAAGGTGAAGAAGGCAGCAGCGAGGTCTGGATTTGGAGCACTGCTGGGGCAGAAACGACCAGCAGCAGCGGATAAGCCCAAGGCTAAAGCACAGAAGACGGATGCCGCTGCTGCAAAAGAAGATCTGGCGGCACGGGTTCGGGCAGCCATGGGAATTGTGCCGCAGCCAATGTGGGGGAGTGCTTCAGGGGCAGGCGAAAAACATGGGACTGATGAGGGTGGGGAGGGAGACACGGTGTTTCCTGAAGGAAGGGGTGGGGGAGGAGAAGGGGGGAGTGAGGACGGAGGAGAGGGAGGAGAGGGGGTGGTCGGGGGTGGAGGGGAAGAAGGGGCAAAGCAGCAGAAGCAGCAGCGGCCGGCCAAGTCTCCGGCTCACTTGGCTGCTGCGGTGGCAGCGGCGGCAGTAGCAGCACGGGCAGCAAAGAAAGCAGAGGGGAGGGTGGAGGGACAGGCGGGTGGTGGGGATGGAGACGGAACGAGTGTGGGTCTGCCTGCTCCGCTCAGTGCTGCCTTTGAGCCCGAGGAGGGCAGGAGAGCCAAGAGGAAGGACAGGCGCAAACTGAGGAAGGCTGCTGCTGGCGTTGATGCTGTTTCTGCTGCTGCTGAAGGTGCTGCTGGTGTTGGTGTTGGTGTTGGTGCTGGTGCTGGTGCTGGTGCTGGTGCTGGTGCTGGTGTTGGTGTTGGTGATGATGGGAGTGTTGATGGTGAGGGGAATGCACCCACTCAGCCAGCACAGTCACAGCAGCAACCCAAGCAGACCCGGGGAGGCGAGAAGGGCAAGGACGTGGTAGCTGATGCGTTTCAGAGAGCAGCAGAGGGGGAGGAAAAGCGCAAGAAAAAGAAGAGGAAGACCAAGGGTGGGCTGTGGGGTTCGGACTCCGAGGAGGAGGGAGAGGAGGAGGGGCTCCGGATGGTGCATGACAGCGAAGATGATGATGATGACGAGTCCGATAATGATGGCATTTTTGGTAGTAATGATGATGATAATGATGATGGTCAGCATCTGAAGGATCCGGAAGGATTCACTCGTCTTGAGGTCTATGATTTCTCTGCCGAACGGGAGGAGTTTGGCCTCGACGCACAGCACGTGGCGGCAAGTGAGGTGCTGGCTCTGGGCCCATCTGCGGACAAAAAGAAATGGAACAAACGCGGCGCTCCAAAATTCGCAGTCCCGCTGCCCGTGGTTGCTGCTGCTGCCGCTAGGGACGCTGGAAAAGGGGGTGGTGGTGAAGGGGGAGGAAGTAAGAGTGCGGTGTTTGACCCGTTGCCACCGATAGCTGCCGGTGCAGCTAAGAGGGGGTTGGTTTATGATGCGCCCAGGGGTGGGAAGAGGAGGCAAGTGTTCCCTTCATCTGGAAATAGGAGCGCCACATTCATGGATTAATTGTGTGGTGGTGAATTGTGATGTCTTCATTGAAAGGACGAGTGAAATGGGTCGTACGGATAATGGACCTGATGTTTGCAAGATATGCACGCATGAAAGGTTGGAGAACAGTTTCTTTATGAAACGTGTTGTATCGAGGCAGTTGCTGTGGATGCCCCAGTGGAGGCTTCTGGCGCTTCCTCAGGTCGTTGATGTCAAACTGTGCGAAAAGAAACATCCTGATTGGAGGAAGCTTGGGGCTCCGGTGTGCATAAGTTCGCGGAATTCTGCTTTGTTCCTCGTTGGTGCTATCTCTGCAGGCATTTTTGCGGCAAAACACTCCGGGCAGCAAGAGGAGTGCAAACGGACTTCCAGGGCGTGAAAATCTCTCGTGTTTGCTGCACCCAGGTCGCTCGCCATTCGACAGCATCTGCTTGTTCCCCGCAGAACTGGTTTGGGGGGCATGGGGATATTTGCCGGGTCACTTTCCGCGCTGACGCCCCCTATCTGCGCCTCCATCAGTATGATCCGCGAAACGCGGAACTATTTTCCTGATGGGCTGGAGAGACCTGGCAGCCGATCTGGCAGGTGAGGGAGGATTTCCGGAATGGGAGAAAGCGGGGAAATGGGGGCGAATTACCTGGTGGAGTGGTGGTTCGGTTGGGAAAGGGAGCGGGGAGAAATTGGCGGCGGAAGAACACCTGCACTGCGAGCTATGGGGGTGTTCTCCTGATTATGGGGAAGTTATGCGAATAATTTTTAGCTAATGGGAAACCCAATGAAGTTCGGGTTTGTCAGGGCCCGGTTACCGCGTTCTAAGTTTTTTGAGGCTTAGCCCAAACCAGCCGCCTCCCCGCCCTCATGCAAATTCGGTCTGGCCAGATTTCTGAACCAGAACTCTCGAGTCTACCTGGTCGCGTCCGGAATATTGCTCGAGTCAACCTAGACAGCACCCTGAAATTCAAGAAACACAATGTTTTGAAGGAATGCTTCCCTTTGTTGTGGAAACAAGAAGCCTCGAGATTGCCGTAACCTTATGGAGAACCCAATGAAGTGCGGTTGGTAAGTGCGTGTTGCCGCGCCCTAAGTGTTCAAAGGCTTAGTCCAAACCAACCACCTCCCCGGTGTACATGCAAGTTCGTTACGGCCAGATTTCTGAACCAGAACTCTCGCGTCTACCTGGTCGCACCCGGAATAGGCTTGAGTGTACCAAGACAGCACCCTGAAATTGAAGGAAGCGCAATGTGTGAGGAATGCTTCAATTGTTGTGAAAAGCCTCGAGATTGCTGTAACCAGCAGCTACATTGACCATCTACAGAAGAAACAGTACGACTGCTGCAGCACACGAAACCAAAAGGTGAAATGGCATGGACATAGGAGAAGCTGTAGGCAAATCTTGACAATGCCCTAGCGTAGTATTTTTTTCCGGAACCATCGTGCTTCAACCAGAAAGAAGAGGCTCGAACGTACTTTCTCCAATAGTGTACAGAATTTCTGTCTGCAGCAGTGACTCATCGTACACATAGGGTTGCGATTCCTAAGGGACATCACTCCCGCATTTGCCGTTCTGACTCTCTGTTGACGGCTCGCAACTTAGCAATCGCTAAAACACTTCGTCAAACGTCAGTAGGCGTTTCAAAGCTAGATTAAATTCGTTCACCCAGTCGTTGCTTCTAGTCGGCCATATCGCCTCAACCAACCACGATCGGGTCTTAGAATTCAGAGCCATTTTGTAAGTATTAGGGTTCTGTAGATTGAAAATAATGGTCAGGCTAGTACATCACCGAACGTAGTTAATACCCTGCGGTTATAGACCAGGGTCCACCCCGAGGCGAGCTGTAGGCGAAGCCGGAAATATTTCCTTAGCAGCTTCCCATACACATCCGGTAATTATCTACCATGGATTCCGACGTCATGGATGTAGATATGGAAGATAGCACTTCGTATCAGGCAGCGGCTGAAGAGACGTCTTTAAGTGGCAAATCGATTCCACCAGATCCCCCACCTCCGCCACCCCAACCTACCCTAGCCACGCCTCTTGCCGCCATTGCAACCAATCCATTACCCTCATTACAACCACATGCAGAACAATCACCTCCTGTACCATCGGCAACAGTGCCATCCGCTACAGCACTACCCGTTACAGTGCCACCCGCAACAGTACCACCCGCTACAGTGTCATCCGCCACAGTACCATCCGCTAATGTACCATCTGCTGTAATCTCCTCAGCAAACGCAGCATCCCCAGCATTACCCTCCCCTCCCATACCGTCCCCACCAGCTGCCATGTCTCGATCCCCGGGGATGGTTTCACCCGGACTCTACTCCCCCATCATCCATTCCGGGATGGTGTCCCCTAGCGTGCACTCCGGAGTTAAGAGGCTCTCGTCGGAAGATCGCCAACGGCTCGCTAACATGCTGCGCGCGCTGCAAATCCAGCAACAGGCGCAAATGAGCCAGCACGGGCAAGCGGAAGCGCAAGCAGAAGCGCGCGCGGAAGCTCAGGCCTCCGCCTCCGTGGGTTCTGCGGAAGCGAGCGGAAGCAGATCGGCGGAAGATGGAGCAGCGAGGCCCGCTGAAGCTGGCGCGGAGAGGGGTGCGGACATGGCGGTGGATGCGCCGGTCTGCGCGCAAGGGGGCACGGGGGAGCGGGACCGCCGGTGGAGAGATTTGACGACGGTGAATGGGGAAACAGCAGGGTCGGGGGCTGATTCGCCGCCGCTTCCTTCGTCGCCCCCTCCTGGGGGGGCTATGAGGTGAGGCGCGAGGAGATGTGGGAGAATGCGAGTTGGGTGGAGGTGTGAGGGAAGGTGTGAGGGGAGGTGTGTGGGGACCTCTTCTTTCCCTCCCTCAACCGATCCCCTCTTTTATCCCTGCAACATGCCCGGATGCCCCTTTCCTCCCCAGCCGCAAGGACATTTTGGAAATAGTCCGGAAACATTCGGGGTCCCTGGTGCGGCCAGCGACCTCCCTAGACGCCACGGGCACGGAGGCGCAGCAGACGGCGCTGATGATGGACCGGCGGTACTGGCAGGAGATGACAGACCTCTTCTTCGTGCGCGGCGTGGAGATCCGAGGGGATGCGAGTCAAGACGGGTCGTTCCGCGACATGGTGTTCTTCGTTAGAAGCGAGGTGAGTTTGGGGTCACTTAGAGGGGACTTAGAGCATGATAGGAGAAGACCTGGCGGGAGATGATTGTGGGTTAGGAGTCAGTCGGAGGTGCCTGGGGGCATGGCAAGTGGTACCGGCGGTACTGGCAGGAGATGGCGGACCTCTTCTTCGTGCGCGGGGTGGAGATACGGGGGGATGCGAGTCAAGATGGGTCGTTTCGCGACATGGTGTTCTTTGTCAGGAGCGAGGTGGGTTTAGATTCGTGTGGGCGTAGCTGTGTGGGTGACAGCCATTCATCCGTCCGTGTCACATGTGTCAGTCACATTCATGGCATGTCAATTCAATGGGTTGAGCATGGGTGGTGGTATGCATGTCATCTCACAGGGACTGCAGGTGACTGCCCCCACATCACATTGCACCCCTTCGTCCACTCTCCCATCCCTCCCACTCTCCCATCCCTCCCACTCTCCCATCCCTCCCACTCTCCCACCCCTCCCACTCTCCCACCCCTCCCACTCTCCCACCCCTCCCACTCTCCCACCCCTCCCACTCTCCCACCCCTCCCACTCTCCCACCCCTCCCACTCTCAGTCACCTGCAGCCACGCCACGTCAGCTGGACGGCAGCGTTAGCGGCATGGAGGGGGTGGAGGGGAGGGGCGACGGCATGGAGGCGATGGAGAGACACCGACCGTACTTTGCCAGGCGGCGGCAGAGCAGCGTGAGTGTACTGTGTAATGAACGTCGAGGTCAAGTGCTACTGAGGGTGTTTCCTAAAATTTGAGGTTCTTGCAGACGAAATCGTCAGCAGGCGACATCTTTCATCATGCCATGCCATGCCATGCCATGCCATTCTTATCTGGGCTGTCTACCCTGCAGTCCCTGCGCACTCCTGCACTAACTGCCCTTCATTTGCTCCCACTCTCACCACTCTGCGCTGCTTTGTACCGCCCTACACTGCTCTACACCTGGCTGCAGCTCGGCGCCATTCTGGGCAATAGTGGGGAGAGCATTGACTGGCGGCGGTCCTTCTACCTCAACCTCATCTGCCACACCGACTACTCCGTCACTGTTGCTGTCTGCAGGTGCTCAGAGAGGGACACACACACATGTACACTGGCATGCACACACACACACACACACACACAACCACACACACACACACACAACCACACACACACACACACACAACCACACACACACACACACACACACACACAACCACACACAACCACACACACACACACACAACCACATGCGCACACACACACACACACACACACACACACACACACACACACACACACACACACACACACACACATGCATGCACGCACGCTTGTCCTCAAACGCTGACTGCGTCCGTGCCCCCCATTCCTTCTCCCCCCACGCCAGTCGCAAGGCCTTGGAGAACCAGAAGCGGTCGGGGCGAGCTGTGCCGCCCATAATGAAGGTAGTGCCCATACTGCATGGTTTGAGGCATGGCAAGCTGCGACCCCCCCCCACCCCCTTCCCTCCCCTTTCGCCCCAGATCCTCCTTCTCCGCCCGCCCTCCCCGCCTATGCCATCTTGTGCTTCCATCCCCTCATGCCATCCCGTCTTGTCATCGCCCCATCCCCTCCCCCCGTCCCATCCCCCCGTGCCATCCCCCCGTGCCATCCCCCCGTGCCATCCCCCTCGTGCCACCAGGTGACGAGGCGGGCATACGCCTCCCCCAGTAGAGCCCTCATCGACACGGGGCTCACACTTCCGCCCTCAACAACCTCCCAGGCATGTGGCGCTGCCCCAGCGAGCATCATAGACGAGCGAGAAGGTTCCTCCCTACCCCATGCGTCGCCCTGCACCCATACACCCAGGCATGCAGCCTACTGCGCAACACTCTTGCGCACACCCACACATGACCTATTCTTCTCTCCCATGCACACATGCACCCTGATGTGTTCGCTCCCTCCCATCCCATCCCTCCCTCCCCCTCTCCCCCCACCACCTCTCCCCACCACCTCCTGCCAGGACGCAGAGGTGACGGAGGCCTACCCTAACATCTGCTTCGCCATTGACTCATCCGACCATGCCTTTGAGTCCGTGGTAGGTGCCGGTTTTTCTTCAATCTGTGATGTGTAAGCCACTTAACCCTATCTCCTGTGAGCTCTGCTTCTTCCGCCCACAATCCCATGCCCCATGCCCTATGCTGCGTGCCCCATGACCCATGCCTCATGTCCCATGCCCCATGCCCCATACCCCATACCCCATACCCGATACCTCATGCCCCATGCCCCATGCCCCATACTCCATACCTCAAGCCCCATGCCCCATACCCCATACCTCATGCCCCATACCCGATACTCCATTTTCCCTCAGGTCCTCAAGTCCAGCGACCACGGCTTCTGCATGCTGCTGAGTGCGCACAGGGGAGCAGCTTGCCCCGCCCAGGACACAGTGGAGCGAGATGCCATGCATGCAATGCCATATGCCCCACACCTCAACAGGTTCTGAAATCCAGCGACCATTGCTTCTGTGTGCTGCTGAACGCGCACAGGGGAGCGGCCTACCCCGCCCAGCACACAGTGGAAACGACAATCATGCAGCATGCCCCATGCCTCATGCCCCATTGGTGCCTCATGCAATTTCCATGTCCGTTGCCCCCCTCAGGTCCTCAAGAGCAGCGACCACTGCTTCTGTGTGCTGCTGAACGCGCACAGGGGAGCGGCCTTCCCCGCCCAGGACACAGTGGAGAAGACCCTGGCGGACGGGCAGAGAAGGGTGCTGCACCGCGGCACCAGCAGCGAGGCCAGAGTGCTGGGAGAGGCATCGGGTGACGGGCCTAAGGTGAGGGGGGAAGTAGAGGAGCAAAGGGGCCATCTGAGGGGGTGGGTATAGTGGGCGGTGGAAAGAGGGGCACAGTGGAGACGGCCCTGACAGACGGGCAGAGAAGGGTGCTGCACGGCGGCACCAGCAGCGAGGCCAAAGTGCCGGGAGAGGCGTCAGGGGATGGACCCAAGGTGAGGGGGGGCAGGGGGAGGTGGGGGAGAAATAGGGGGTTTTGATGGGGGAATTCGACAAGAGAGAGAGAGAGAGAAAGATGAGGTGGGAAAACACAGGCAAATGGGCAGAGGCGCGCGCGCGCTGCACCGCAGCGCCGAAGTGCTGCGAGAGGCGTCAGGGGATGGACCCAAGGTGAGGGGGGGTGTTGAGGTGGGGAGAGTTGAAGATGGGGTTGTAGGAGGGGGGACGTGAGGAGGGTGAGAGGAGCAACAGCAGCAGGGATGTGTCGCAGCATGTTGTGCGTGCTTGCCTCTGTGTGCTCTTCCATAAATGCATAAACCTCACTACATCCTCTGCCATGACTCATGCGACACGGCATGCCATGACTCATGCGACACCGCATGCCATGACTCATGCGACACCGCATGCCATGACTCATGCTACACCGCATGCCATACCCGATGCTCCATGCCCCATCAGATCACTCTATTCTCGGGGTTTGTGAGCTACCCCATGGTGAAAACTTCCTTCCAAGGTAATGGCCTCAGCCTTGCACTTCCCAAGCTTCCAGATTTTTTCAGCTGCTGTCTGGTTGGGTGCTGTTATACGCCTGTCGCTTTAAGCAATGTCTCCCTGCCCTGTTCCCCTCAACAGGTCTCGTCTCCATGTGAGGGCTGCCTCCCCCTCACCTCTCAAGCCAGCAGGCCTCGTTCTCCGCGGGCCACGAGGCAACTGAGCCTGAAAGCATGTTTCCTTCCTACTCTCAAGGCACTCCTTTCCGTCTCCTCCCCCTTGTCTGCCCGGCAGGTCTCTTCTCCATGTGGGGCGCTGCCTCCCCATCACCTCTCAAGCCAGCAGGCCTTGTTCTCCGTGGGCCGGGCGGCAAAGGAGCCGCCAACCTCGCCGTCTGCCCACTCCCCCTCCCCCCGCTCCCCCCCAAACCCCCACTCTCCCCCCGGCCCCCCCTTGCCCCCAGACCTCCCCTCTCCCCCCGCCACCCCCCGTCTCGGTCGCACCCCTCTCGGTCCCCCCATCCTTCCCACTCCCAGCCCTCCTCCCGCTTCCAGCTCCCACCATCCCAGCAGCCCCTCTCCCCCTCTGCCCGCTCCCAGCTCTCCCCCTCCTCCCTCTCGTCGCCTACCCAACCAAACCCCTCCTCACCGCAACCATCACCACCCCGCGCCTCCCACTTATCACCGACCAGCCCGCCCCAGCCATCTCCCACCAGTCCGCTACACATCAACCGGCCTGCACAGTCCCGTACGTCTGCACACTCCCCTCTATCTGCACAGCCTGTGAAGCCATCTCGGCCGGTCCACCGGCGCATGCCATCACTACAGGAGCTGCAGAGCAAGCTGTGGGCTGTGCAGGCCGAGCTCATGGACCTGCTGGAACTCGAGGCCGAGGCTGCTGCTAAGACTGTAGCCGCCGCTGCCGCCGCCGCTGCTGTTGCTGCTGGTGCCACTGCTGCTTCTTCCCAAGCTGCTGCTGATGCTGGTGCTGCTGTTGGTACTGCTGCTGCTGGTGCTGGTGGTGATTCTAGTGGCAGTGGTGATGATGCTCCCAGTTCTGTTGTTGCCAGCACCGCTGCTCCTCCTCTTGCCTCTGCAGTGGCAGAAGCTGCCCCTGCTGGGGCAGGCTGTGCAGATGGTGAAGGGGAGGAGATAATGCAGGTGGAAGGCGGGGGTGATTCACCAGCGCAGGATTCTGGGAACCGTGATTCTGCTGCTTGTGCTGACGCTCGTCCTGCAGTTGGCGCTGCTTGTGATGATTCTATCAAGACAGAAGAAAGAGAAGCGGATTCAGCAGCAGCAGCAGTTCAAGCCTCATTCCGTTCTCCTGCGCCATCACCCGTTCCCTCTCCTCCCCTCCCCTCTCCTGCTCCCCCTCGCACCTCCCCTTCTCCCCCCCGCGCCTCCCAATCCCCACCCACCCCCTCGCCACCCTCCCCCTCCCCAACCACTCCCCTCCCTCCCACACGCACCTTCCAAACCCACCCCTCAACCGCCCTTCCCCAGACAAAGCCTGCCAAGGAAGAGGCCCGAAGGCTGCGCCTGCTAGAGCTGCAGGGGGAGCTGAGACTAGTGCAGGAGCAGCTGCAGATGCTGCAGTCTCAGAGCAAGGGCAAGCGCCCGCACCCCCCCGATCAGCACCACAGGCAGCGGCCCCCGTCCTCGCGCTCCATGCATGCCTCTCGGGGTAAAATGAGAAGTTCTGGTGGTGGTGGTGGTGGCAATGGGAGGGGCAGTGGCAGCAGTGGTGGGGATGGGGGAGGAGCAGGAGGGGAGGGGGATGAGGAGGAGGATGAGGACAGGGCCGGGTTTCCAAGGGTTTTGAAGCGGGTGGTGGTGGCACCGCCTCGGAGGGCGATGGTGCACCAGGATGAGGACAGCCCAACCGCCAGACAAGCACAGGGGCAGGCGCCTTCAGTTGGATTCCCCGGAGGATCACCTGAAGGTTCTCCTGGTGCCCGTCGCGCAGGTGGCACTTCGGGTGCTACGGGAGCGACTGGTGCTAGTGCAGGTGGTAGCAGTAGACCAGGCAGCAGCAGGACAGGTGGCAGCAGCAGCCGTTCCCCTGCACCTGCTGCTGGTAGTGCCAGCAGTATTGCAGCGTCGCTGCTGCAAGGAGGGATGGGAAGAGCAGCAGGAGGAGGAGGGGGCGTGGTGAGAGAGGAGCCTCTGCGCTGCTGCCTGGCGTCACTCTCCCTGCCCTGGGAATCACTCGCCTTTGACCTCCTATTTAAGGTACGAACTCCTTCCTCCACTCTCTCCTTACTCCCTTACCCTCCTCTATCCTCTTGCTTGTCCCCAACCCTCACCTCCTCTGCAATTTCCCTCTTTTCTTGCCCCCACTCTCTCTTGCTTTTCTGCTCTGAGTTCCAGTATTGTGAATCTTACTCGTGCATCCCAACGTACGCGATGTCTTGCAGGAAATGCCTGTCAAGGTGGACATTGGAGGTCGGATATTCCCTCCGCCTCGAAATCCTCCCAGCGCAGAAGACTTTTGATAAAGCCTGGTGCTGCCATCAGAGGAACAACTTTCTGGAACCCGTTGTCAGTAGAGAACTGCTAGAGCCAGCTGCCTTTCCAGTAGCCATATTGATTATAGCAGTGGGTTTGACGTGTATTCATTTTCAGTTTGTCACACCGTACTTCAGATGGTACGAGGTGCGACGAGGCGCTTATGTGTCTGATGGAAGGAACAGGCTGGCGCTGGCCGAAATGGTTTGGCTTGGCGCACATAGAATAGATCTACTGTATGTGTGTGCCTTATTTTTTGTGTACCATGTGTAGTCTATCAATATTGTGGAACGGAGTTGCGGATGCACTCATGTCACAAAGTTGAATGGTGCAAAGCAGGGGCAATATTGTTTTCACAGCAGTGATGGCCTCATGCATTGAACTTTCCCAATTGTAGCCATGAAGGTGAGAATTTACCACCTCTTTTGTTTCCATAGATGTTTCAGCCACACCCTGCCTAGACCACGGGGCTCCCAGGGTGCAACAATAGCGGAGCTCGCTAGGTTCGATGTTTTCTTCCGTTTCAGAACCGTACGATTATATCGTCGATCTAACGGCCCGATCGCAACCTACGCTGACAGCCCCACTGGCGGTGCTGATGTGCCGCTGACGTTCCCAGAGTCGTCAACCGACGAAACCCTCATTGTTCCCGCGCAGGACTACATCAAACAACGAACGAACCCTGACGGAAGCATTTCGAAGCAGCATTTTCGAGAACAGAAACCGTTAGCTGTAGTGTGACAGCGTCGTCAGGGTTTGAGAGATGGCAGGTCTAGCACAGAGCGAGTCTAGCACCAGAGTTCTGGGAGACCCTGTGGGGTCTGAGGGCAGGTCCCCTGATGAGGTCTTGCTCTACAACTCTTTGCAAGTCGGCCATGAAGTCTACCAAGTGGTAGGCCTCCTTGACTTCCATAGCTTTCAAGTCTTACATAGTTGTTCTGTCTACTACATTGAGAGCTAACGCCCGTCTTTCCGCCTTTCAGGGAGACTCGGTTTTATTGAGGTCTTGCCGTTCAGAGCATGATGTCGTCGTCATTCGTGTAAGTTCCTCGCGGTAGAGTATTTTTGTTCTCCTTCGGAACGCGACATCGTGAAGCTATATCTCTGGTGTTGTCGCTTCGTTTTTTTTTTGTTCCTCACGCGCTTGTTCTTGCTCAATCTGTGCAGCAAATCAGGGTCACCCCTGATGGTGGTCTCGAGGTGAAAGGACAATGGCTTTACCGAGAGCAACACCTTCCCATCTTACAAGATCTTCCAAGAGCTTCGGTTGAAGCCAGAGCAGCTACAGACGAGCTTTTCGGAAACAGCAGAAGGATACATCTGCTGTCAGATCCGCGCCGTCTGTTTTACTCCTTCCACTATGAGTCTTTCGTTCCCGAGACAATAGTGCGGAAGTGCAACGTCGTTGTCATGCCGCCGTCCAAAGCTCTGCCGTCAACAAGTGAGCTTTCGGATTTTGTGGTATCGCATGTCTATGATGTCCAAGGTCACCGTCTTCTGACTGTGACGGACAAGTCCCTTCCCAGGGAACATCATGACGAGCTTGCGACGGCGCTTTCTCGATCTAAGGAGACGTGGGAGCCGCTTGTGGAGCATGCACCCACAGAGCTTCAAGAGAGCAATAAGGTCAACCTTGTGTGTTCAAGTTCAGACAAGCGCTCTGGAAAGTATTCCGAGCTAAGTTGGAATGTGCCCGGGTCCAAGCGTCGCAAGCTGTCGAGTGAAGGCAAGTGTTTGGCGATTGGAGGCGGTCTCATCAGATGCGACCAAGCTGCGAAACAGAGCGAGGCGGACGAGAACGTTTCTGCCTTAGTGGGCTGTCCTGATGGTGACTGCTCATATTGTAGTGGAAGAAGTGGGTGTCCAGAGTGGGAGCAAGGAGCGGCTCCGTGGACTTCGGAACTGCCTTTGTGCCCTGTTGAAGCTCCTGAAGATCATTCTTCCGTCAGCGGTGGATGCTGCAAGCCTTCTCTCCCAGTCCCCTCGGTTACGGATCACCTATCCCATGTGGACACTTACTTGGAAGTGTGCGACAAGGCGGACGTTGGTTGCAGTATAACGGCAAGCACTGTTGACGCTCGTAGTGCTGCGATTGGACTTGAAGATCCCGAGGCTTTTCCAGAGGCAGTCGAGGTTCATGATTTTGATGAGCAGTTGGTGGAGCAGTCGACTTCTCCAATCGATTTGCCACATTCGGTAGGTTATGCGTGTTGTTGTTTTCGTTGGCGTGTTTTATATTCCTCGTTCTTACTTCGTGTTTGCCTACATGTTTCCACGTTTCAGGAGAAATGTATTGCTTATCATGAGGAGGCCTTGGTAAGTTTTACATGACGCTGGTGTGTGACTCACGCTTATGAAAAGCCCCTAGACTCACGGTCCTTTTATTATTATTATTTCTCCTTCCAGGTGGAGCTCCTCTGCCCCAACTGCGGTGTCTGTGGGACTGTTCCCAACACTTCGTCGGAGAATGCTCATGAAGTTGAAGAGCACAAGGTCCGTGACGCTCTTTTGTTGTCGAGCCGTTTTGCTCGCATTGTCAATACTGACGCCTTGGCTACGCCTGGTTTTTTTTTTTTTCCAGCTGGAGTGTACAACCTGTGGGCACTCGTGGGTTTCGCTCCTCCATTCAGGGGACGTTGCGGATGTTGGCCCTGAAGACATAGGCTTTTCTGGCCTGGAATGTCAGGAGGAGAGTAACGGGGCTGTCGGAACTGAAAGCGATGCAGATGACGAAAATGACCCCCTTCTTTTCATCAAACGGCTGCCCCTGCTCACTTACGCGATTCCGGAAAATCGCCCCAACATCTTACCTCCGCGAGCAGAAGATGCGCCACCTGTTACACTGGTCCTAGATCTTGATGGTAAGCATTTTGCTGTCTATGTCTTCCACGGAAATGATCGTTTTCATGCATTGTCCGCTTGATTCACTCAATAACCCTTTCTTGTTTGTATTGCAGAAACACTGGTGCATTCAACAATGGACTTCTGCCCGTTTTCTGACTTCAACTTCCCAGTCTTGCTGAACAGCCATACGCACATGGTTCATGTCCGTAAGCGCCCCCACGTGGAAGCGTTTCTCCAGAGGGTAGCTGAGCTGTTCGAGGTTGTGGTCTTCACAGCCAGCCAAAGCATCTATGCAGATAAACTTCTTGACATAATAGATCCGAAGACGCAGGTGGTTCGACACAGGATCTTCAGGGAGTCCTGTGTCTACATTGAAGGGAACTACGTGAAGGACCTGTCTGTTCTTGGCCGTGACCTTTCAAAAGTGGTCATTGTTGACAACTCACCTCAGGTAATTTTGTCGTTTCTGGAGCCAGATTTATTACCTCAAGTGTTTGATTCTCATGTGTTCCAGCTCCTCTGTACAGGCTTTTGGATTGCAGGTGGACAATGGTGTTCCCATTGAGGCATGGTTTGATGATGATAAGGACTGCGAGCTGCAGTTGCTTCTTCCATTTTTGGAGACCCTGGCGAGGGCGGATGATGTGAGACCTCACATTATCGAGAAATTCAAGCTTCAGGAGAGACTAAACAGGATTCCTATCTGACGCTCAAGCTGCAGTGCTGACCTTCCTAACCCCCCCAACATTGTTGACCCCTCGATGTTGTGCCGGGCAAGTGCACAGTACTAACAGCTAATCTAGTTTAGTATATCTTATTAGCTGCATATATCATTATAATATGCTTATGGGTTTTTTTATAAGAACTGATCAGATGTCAGCTAATCTATCCTCTAGTTTTGAGCCAGTGTACTTTACCAGCTTGTCCCATTCAGCCACCTGCCTCCTGCATTCTTTCAAAGCTGCCTGTTTCTTTTTCAAGTCTTCCTCCAGTGCAGCAACTTCCTGCATATCATCAGAACATCATCATTAGGCAATGCAAGTAGTAGACACTGTAGGTCAAAAGCTTAAAAAAAAAGTAGAGACCTACCCGGGATAGTGCCGCGTGAGGATCAGCCAGGTGTTGGGCTCGAAGCCTTGTGAAACAACGCTCAAGTTCACATGCCGCCTCGAGAAATTGATGAGCTCGCATGTCAACATCCACTGCAATCAGGAAGGACAAGGTCGTGCGTGATACGGGCTAACAATTTAGGTACTATAGTTTAGTGCGTACGAAATCTCGAATTGATGTCAAAACGGCTCTAAGGAAGGCAGTTCAGCGAGCAATGGACCCCTCTCATAGACTAAGGGCTTATCACAACGTTCTAATCACCTGCATCTGCCACGTTAGCTCTATCAGCTGCCTGAAGCTCTCCAGCGGGAAGGAGGGCTAGCAAGTGAGCATCTAGAGTATCGAGCATGCGCAGAGCGTGAGCTACGTCCATTTCTTCCGAACGCTTTTATCGACCGAGCTGAGACGCGCGCAATGTAAGCGCGGGTGTTAACAGAAGGCGTTGAAGACAGGCTTGCTAGGATAGTCTCTGTTGTTGGGGTTGCTCTGAGATGGGAAGCTGGTGCGCGAAGTCAATTTCAACTGAAAGAGCAAAATTGAACTCGTTTCTAGCTGGTCTCACGCACAATCTCGTGTCCAACAATCATGTACGAAATTCACAACAAAGAAGTTGCTTGAAACTATAACAGCCCAATCTAAGGACGTGGAACCTACGGCTCATTTGTCGGTTTGGGCAATGTACAGCGACTATGGGGACCATTCTTAAAACGATCTGGGATCGCGGCCAGCCTGGTCCCCGAAATGATCTCCCACATTTTGCGAACTGTTCCAATTCGCTGGGTCGTTTGACATACTCGCGCCAAACTGTCGCCAACACCAACCGCGACAAAACTGTAACCGTAAAAACAAAATTCGTCAAGACCAACTATAACCGGGAATCGCAATTCTTTCGCACAGCGTGGATTGTTTGACTGTTGGAAGGAGCTGCAATCTTGATGGCTTGTTGGTCGTTTCGGAAGATCGGATGGCGGACGTTGGCCAAAAGTGGCGCCAAACAATCCTGGAAATGAGCCCTAGGTTCCACGTCCTAATTCTTCTCTGCAGTCTCCTCTTCTCATCCAGTCGATCCACAGATTCGACCAGCCTTCGACCAGCCTCAGCAAGTAGGCTGCCGCAAGCGTGAGCCAGCGCGTTTCACGGCTGACCACTGCTTCAGCAGCCGACCTGCTGTGCTTGCCACCTCGTCGAAGGTCTTCGAACGCAAGAAATGTCTTTTGCCGCGAGCACTGCCGCTCTGTCGACGAAAGCGGTTCCCCGTCATTCAGCTCTTTGCGGGTTTAACGGTCATGAGGCTTCGCTGAAGAGCAGGCAACTGCTGGGAACTACATTTTCCCCTTCCATCGCACAAGGCAAGACCCATCGTGTAGTTTCTTATGATCTCTTTCGCTCGCTACGAAGGAGCACGTGTCGCTGCTCTGTTGCTGTCTTTCATAAATATAATCTTCCCTTTTTCCACTGTCGCGTTACAGGTCAGTCAGCTCAAGGTAATGCCATTCAGGTCCCTTCCTCCGGAAGAACGACGACTCTCAGACGGCAAGGAGCGGCCAGATGCGGATATGCAGTGAAGGAGTCGCGAGGCGGAATCGCAGGCGAGGGCTTCCGATTTGGAGTGGTAGGCCTGTGGGGGGTTTCGGGGAAATCAGAATCTTCTAGATCCTTTTTCTGTCACGGAGGCTCTGGTCTCGCTGGTGTATACTAATCGCATCTTCATAAAGGAGCACATTTTGAGGAGGTTTTTGCAGGGTTTATGTTGGCCTCTTCTTTCAATATAGTAATTTCTCCGACCTTCCTGTTCGTCGCTTGCTTCTCATTGCTCAATGTCTCTTTTTCTTGCTCCCTTGCGACATTGCATGTTATGATGGATCAGGTGGTGTCCAAATTCAATGAGATTGTAACGAAGCCTCTACTATCGGGGGCGATTGACACGTTCAGGCGGCATGGTGTGGACAAGGATCACATTGAGGTGGCGTGGGTGCCGGGCAGCTTTGAAATTCCCCTCGTGGCCCAGGAGATGGCGAAATCAGGCAACTTTGACGCCGTGCTCTGCATCGGTGCTGTGGTCAGTTGACTGAGTCTCATTTATGAGCTCTTCTTTAAGGGTCATGTGTCTCTGTGGCTTGTACGTTTCACTTACTCATTTCGTGGCCAGACCTGCCAGCCTACTCTTCTGCTATATTCTGCTGCTATTCCAGGCAGGCATCCCACCCCATCCCACCCACCCCATCCCATCCCATCCCATCCCACCCCATCCAATCCCATCCCATCGTTTCCTCACTATCCTCTCCTGCCCTATTCTCAGGTGCGAGGCTCCACCACACATTATGATGCTGTGGCAAACAATGCTGCAAGTGGCGTCCTGAGTGCAGGGCTCAACTCAGGTGAGGCTGGGATGGGGCATGGAATTTTGGACCAGAAGTGTTTGGGTGTCTGGAAGTAGCAGGTCTGGCAAGGACAGGAACTTAGCAAATCATCTCTTGCTGCTTACGCCCCCTTCCACCCCTCCCCCCCTCTCTCGTTCCCTCTCCGTCGGGCGTTTTGCAGGCATTCCTTGTGTCTTTGGAGTTCTCACGTGCGAGACAATGGAGCAGGTACGCCCTTCAATACGTCTATGTTCACACATGCCTCACCTCCCTGGGTCTCTCTCCCCTTGATCCCACCCCCCTTGGTCTCGCCCCCCTTGGTCTCACCCCTCTAGCTCTCACCCTCCGCTGTATCACCACCCTTGATCTCACCCCCCTAGTTCCTGCCCACACATGCCTGTCCACACGTGTGTGTCTCTCAGCCGAATTGAAGTGCTGTGTTGAAGGGCCCTGAGTTCATGTATGTATCCCACTGCAATGCTCTCTGTATCACCGAATCCGTGGTTGTTCAGGCAATGGACAGGGCGGGAGGCAAGCTTGGCAACAAAGGAGCTGAGGCTGCCATCACAGCGGTATGTGGATTCTTTGGGCCCTTGCTTTGCCATGCTTTGCCTCACGCTTTTGACTGACCATTCCTCTTCTGTGCATTTGCAATATCTGCACACCCTGTATGGCACACTTCCCAGCTGAATATTCTATGTCCTTCTGCCTCTCCATGCCGCCACTTGCCTTGCTGATTTGCAGATTGAAATGGCTAGCCTAATGGCCATGCTCCGTGCCTCTGGCTCCGCTGCCCTTGAGGCTCCGGAGTGATCATTGTTCCCTGCGAGTACATGCTCTTGTTTGTGGTCCTCCATATCAATTGCGAGTCACCAGAAATTTTTGTAACTTCTGAGTTTATAGTGGTTACATGGTACATGCTTCAGATTCTGACCCACGTTCTGTCAGTATCGTGCTGTCCATCATGTTCGTATGGTAGGGATCGGAGTCCCCTATGTTTTATCATGCCAGACCAGATCAGGAAAGTAGCTTTCAATAAAAATCAAGATAAACTAGTTAGACCTGGGTATAAGCTAGAACACGGAGGAGGAAGCCGCGGAGGCAACCATGCCTTCTATGTGCACTGCTCCACGTATACGGAGACTCCACTTGGTTGCAGCTCCGAGGTTCAGAAAAAAGGAAATTAAGGAACTAAGAAAATAAGTATAGTAGAGTCCTTGAAAGCGCACCCGCGGATTGCCTAAGCTCGGATGGCGCCACCCGGAGCAGGGACCACGGACGGAGCTGCCCGCACCACCACGCGACCCTGGCTGCACGGCCACGTGGCACGCGCACACGACTCCATCCCTGACATGAAACGGAACCCGCCAGCAGCAGCAGCAGCTGGTCCGTACAGGGCCGCCGGGCTGGTAGATGTAACGGGGAGAACGTGAACCGCCCTGAGGTCCTTAATCGAGTCCTCCATGGGCCCCTGAACGTCCACCTTAACAGCGGCGCGCTGCACCTTCCCCTTCACCTGAAGCTGCCCCTGCTGAGTCACTTGCACCTCCACCATGCCCCCCTCCGCGCTTCCCAACGCCACCACGTTTTCGTTCTCCTTAACCGTCGCCCCCGACTCGCTGCTCTCCCTGAGCTTCGCGGAAACCGGGGAGGGCTTGAGCGAGTCGCAGGCGGCAGGGGAGGCGCACTTATCCTTTACAAGGCGACGCGCTACCGCCATAATGAGCATCATCTCGTCCATGGTAGTGTCGTCGTCTACAGTAGGCTCGGCGGCTTGGGCCAATCCGCACTTCGGCACCTTTCGCGGACGACCCACGGGCCTCTTCGCCTTCACTGCTTTCTGCGACGGCAGCGACGGTTGCGACGGCTGCTGCGATTGTTGCTGCTGCCACGCGACCTCGGTGAGAGTGAAAAACGACCCCTCGTTCTTAGACCGCTTCGCCCCCACCGACTCGCCACCCGAAGCGTGCCCCTCACTCGACCGCCTCTTGCGCCCCGCCGACGCAGCCACCGCTCCCCCGATAAAATCACACTCGGAATCGGAACCCAAGTCCTCATCTTCATAATCACTCTCCTCCACCTCAGTATCCTCATCAGCATCATTCCCCACGTCGTCACCATCGCCGGACTCGTCGTCGCTAACCACGTACTGACGGCTCCTCCGGGTCCTCAGGCCCCGATGCACGAACTCCCCCTCCTCGTACGACTCAGCGGGGCGCGCCTCAGCGGCGGGGTACGACGCGCCGTAAGCCCGGCTGTCGACGTGGCCGTAGCTTGGATCCGACGAGTCGCCAGAATCCGAGCTCGCAGCGGCGTTTGACGACGCGTATCGGGAACCGCCGACGGGGAACAGCTGAGGCAGAGCCGATGCGGTTGCCGCCGCTGCGGCCGACGCAGACGCCTTTTTCCGCCCGCGGGTCCCCCTCGGGCGGAGGAATTTTGCCGGGTCCGCGTGGGGGTCTTCGAATTCCCAGCGCGTGGTTCGCAGGTCCAGTCGCTTGCTGTCGCCGTGGTCGCTCACGATCGTATGGAGCGCCTTCTTCGCGTCGTACTTCTTCACGAAACCCGCGTGCCAGCGGTTATCGCGCGGCCAGACGACGCGAATCCGCGTGCCTTCGTGCAGACGAACCGCGGTGGGCTTTTTTTGTCCGCTCTTGTCAGATGAAGTAGGTTTGGCCATCTTAGGCTGGTGAAAAATCTGTACTGAATACTGAGTCGAGTCGAGTCGATTTGAGTTGAGCAGTTAGTAGAAGAAGTTTGAGAGAGCTGCTAGTAGAGAAGGCGCGAATCTAAATACTGTACTGCTTTTTAGGTGCAATACGCTACCTTGAGAGGTGAGATTCAAAAGAAGAAATCGGGAAGAAGACCTTGAGAGGGCGCGAGAATGAGGAAGGCGTGGCTCATTGCCTGAGGAAATATGTGAGCTCCGCTTGAGGCGCCAGGTAGGGGCGACGGGAGGTGGGCGCGTTGGTTGCGTGGTGCGCGAAAGCAATGGAAATGCAAGGGGCTCCACCGATTGCTTTACGATTACTGCCCCTCGCGCTTTCCAGAAGGGCGGACATTGGGATTCGGTTCGGAATTTTGCTGGAGGGGCAGAGAGACCTGGATGGCGCGAAAAAAACTCGTCGGGAGGCGAGGGGCGGGGCATGGGGGTTTGGATTGGGCTGACAATGTGTGGCAAATTGCGGAGGGGGAGAGCGGGTTGGGGGGGGGGGCGCAGAAAGGATGGTGCGGCTGGCGGCGGGCAGGGGGCAAGACGGACTGCGGAGTTTGTTGTGTGGAGTGAGGAGTGAAGTCCGCGTGAGGAACGTGAAAAGGCAATAATCCAGGAAATTGGGATTGCGGATGATCGGGAATCGGGATGTGATGTGACGGGCTCCCAAGCGCCACGGGGACGGGCGGGCAGGGCAGCTGGGAACAAAACCGATCGCTCCAACTTCAAGGGGCGAATTTTGGAGCGAAAATCAGCGCCCCTGTTGACAGCCTTGAGATTGAGCGTGGCAAGGGAGGGAGAAAGCAGCCTCAGTTGGCGCGTAGGTAAGTCAGACCGTGTCGCGATCGACCACAAGCTTTCCGTCGGCCTCGGGAGTTTGGTTCGACTCTCTGGTTTGGTCGATGTCGCACATGTCGGTAGGTAGATCGCTTGGCCTCGCAACATCTCGTGAGGTTGTTAGTTGGCCGCAGAGTGAGTTGAGCTTTCGTCACAGGTTTTCGCAAGGGTGTTACACACGTGACAAAAGTGGTGTTAAGGCGGGTAGCACTCACTTCGACGGAGGTGCTGCGACAGTGTCGCATCGCCAGGAAGTGTGCTGACCGGGAGGGGAGCCAGAACCGCGTTTGTTTGGCTCCGCACGGTCTCCTGAGGTTGTGGGATGGGGGCGAAAAAGAGCTCCACTGTGAGGCCCACCGAAACTCGGCAATGGCGACAAATCAAAAGGGAGAGTCTCTGGGGTTTCGGTCGAATCCGCTAATCACGCAATCGCACACCATCGCGAGCATTCGATTTCTGTTGCCAAACTTCAATGGTAGGCAGGATCAGCCCCACCTGATGTAACGATCCACCATGGCTATTTTCGGCGCCATCCACGATCGCAAGATTGGCTGGTCTGGGTAGGTCAGATCCACTGTCGTGTCTGCTTGCTATGGCGACCATTCCCGCCACCTTGATGCCACCACGAGTCAGACGTGTAGCCAATGTCTATCCGGCACGTGTATGTGTCGAAGCCTACCTCACGTGTTTCCGTGCTGGCTTCAATAACGAAGCTCGATGTCCCAAACCAAAATAGGTTTGGGAATACGGCGCACGACCTACCAAGCTGCCCATACCCCGTGCGGGTGGAGCTGCGCCACAAGTTCATGTCGTTGATGAATATCCCCGAAGGTGCCCAAACGTGGGTGTGCTGTGAAGTACGTGGCTGGATCGTCTCTCTCTCATTGGCAAAAATAGTTTTCCGACACCCCCCACTCCCCATTTTCCCGCATGAAGTGGATTGACCCCCTCGAGTAAAGGTGCCTTTTTGTCTGCAGCATTTTCAAAACTGGAAAAGCACCCTCAGGATTCTGACAATTGAGTAAAATGTCAGAATTTTCTGGCGGGATACTCACAGCTCCCGCCATAATATTTTCAGGGGCTGTCGAAGAAACGCGGGAAGGGGATTGCCAGTTCTACTAGCTACTGGCTGGCCATACTGGAGGACTCGGAATGTGTCTGGAAGTACATTCGCATTACAAAAGTCTCCATGAATAAAAAACATTCAAACATTTAAACAAGCTATTTGACTATAGTCCCTAGATCTAAGTCTGGCTTTCCTTGGGGCATCACACTCAAGAACCTCTACAAAGACCTTCGTTTTCACCTCACAATGAGCAAACTCTCTTATATCAGCCGTAATAACACTTCCAACACTCTTCCACTTGAGCTCCTTTTTCCTTACCGGCTCCAAATCGAGTGCACCGTCAACCACCACCAACCCTGGATGGCCAGATCCTCCCACTCCGACATCCGTCCCATGCAGCCCAATTTTCCTGTTGATACTGTCTGATGCTGTCGCTCCTGCTCCTTTTCGTGCATCCTGCTCGTATACTCTTGGTGTAGAACAGCTGACCACACCACTGCCAATGCACCCTGCTGCACGCCTTGACACGTACTCTTTGCAATTCCGCACCGCCGTCTGCAAGACACTCTGGCGCAGCTTGCACGCTGGAGTGCTTACCCAGGGATGGGACAGCGCTTCATGTGCCTTGATCCTCTCCGATCGATTAGGCGTGAGCAATTTCGGCAAGAAGTCCAAAAGCTCGGGAGAGGGGTCATCTGGCAAGCCCTCCACGTCACCAGCTTGCAACCTCAGCCAAGAGGCATTCCCATGAACTTGCTGGGAACATGCTGCTGCCTTCCCCACTGCCGTCTTGGGCGGCACCCCCCCAACCATCAGGAACAGCACTGCACCCAGGCTCCACATGTCTGCAGCCTGAGTGAAGACACGCTTCTGGGAAACTTCCGGGGCGGCAAAGAAGGGCGCAGTGCCAGGTGAAGGGGAGGTGGCGCCTTCGGGAGGGATGATAATGGCTGACCCAAAATCGACCAAGTGAGGATGCTTGGAGGGTGTGCTCGGGAAGAGGATGTTATTCGGGTTCTGTTGGAGGGGTGGGGGGATTGTCCGAGGAGAGGGCATTCAAATGCAAGGAGAGCTTCCTTGTGAACTTGAGCAGCGTGAAGTCGATGGATGATGGGGGAGGAACGAGGAGAAGGTAGGAAGGAAAGGGTTGGAGATGGAGAGGAAGGGGAAAGGGAAGATGATGGCGGAGTGGAGTTGGAAAATGAAGGCGTATGGCAAAAAGGGATAAGAAGAAAGAACGCATGCCTCATTCTACACTACAGCACATATCAATGTTCAAGACGACTTACAATGTCAAGATGTGCGATCCCCTTGGAATGAAGACATGCAAGGGTCTTCAGTACATGGCGCACTGGAGAATCACACAAAAGAACAGAGAAACAGAGGAAGGGCTTAATTGAATGCCTGGCTTGAGAGCTTCTTCAAACGCACTGCTCACAAAAGCCTGACAATCTGCTCCACTCAATGCTTTGTCACACAAACTGCCCACCAATGCAAGCTCATGATCCCTGTTCACCAATGGCCGATGCATGGCGCTCACCAATGGCCGATGCGTGGCGCTCTGAGAACTTGGGGCGGGACGCGATGTGAGAGAGCAGGTCGCCTCCAGCCATCAAGGGAGAAACCAGGAAGAGGAACCGGTTGTCCTCGAAGGTGCCGAGCACAGGGAGGACGCCGGGGCATGACGGAATCGAGGCAGGAGCATGTGAATCCGAAGCTGGGTTGGACGAGTCAGCCGCGGAAGAGGCAGTGGCGGTCGAGCCAGGTACGGACCCTGCAATCCCAGTGGAACAGGTACTGCCACTATTGATGGTGGTGCTGCTGCTTGTGCTGCTGGTGGTGGTGGCAGTGGTGTCAGAGGTGGTGGTGGCAGAGGTGCAGCTCTCCTTCGTCTCGTCTGATTGCTTGCCAGCGTCACCCCGCTGCAGCTGCATGGACAGAAGGGAGGAGTAATGCATTGATGGAAACTACTTGGAATATCGATCGCGCAACAAGCGTTGAGGAAACTACTTGGCGACAGCATGGTGAAATAATGTATTCTGCAGTGGCTGAAAATACCATTCCTGGAACAATTCCAAAGATCCCATACTGAGTGTGCCTCACTGAAGCAGCCGTGCCAAGATCTGAACTCAGGAAAAACTAGGTGTGCTGAATGTGTGATGGGCAAGCGACACAGATGGTGGGGACCTTACCGCGAGAAGGATTTCGATCTCAGACGCCTGGTGGGGCAGCAGGCACAAGCAGGTGGAGAGCGGGGTGGGGTGGGAGAGGGGGGAGAGGGGGGAAATGGAAGAGGAAGGAAGAGGTGAAGCAGAAACAGAGCTTGCAAGTTGGTGTGCAACCGAAGCTCCCCGAACAGGTCGGTAGCACTGTAGGGTTCAAAAAGAGGGAAATTTAGGCTAAACAGCAACAAAAAACGCATTGATTCTGGCAGAGGTCGAAGAGGCGGTGCAGGATAAAGCATCCCTGTCTCTCAACCCTGCTACACGCTCCCTCTGCACTGCACTCAAATCACCCCCTGATTCCCACTCAGCCTTTGCAATCCTTCATCCGCTCCTTTCCCCCTGTGCTTTCAACAAGTGGTCCCCGACCCCGTCCCGCACTGCACTCACCCGGTGCCCTTCCCCCTTCATCGCTGTCACAATCCGCTTTGACAGCATCTTCACTGCCACGTGGACCCCACTCAACTTATCCACGCCCACCCTGCACCTCACAAAGTGGTTCAGATGAAGCATTTGAGCTCAATTCAGAGTTTGAAATTCATTCAAGACCAAGCAGCGTGGTCTTGATTGGTGTATGATACCCTCGAGAGCGCACCAGACGATGCTCGTGCGACCCTCCCCGAGGACGTCTCTTGTCAGGCGATACGCGCGTCGCACGTCCGTCGCATGGCCGATTTTGAGACCGCGAGGCTCGAGCCAGGGGAAAGACGACGACTCGTCCTTGTCCTCCCAGTCCTCTAATGCCCGATGCTTGGAAGATGCTGAGCCCATTCGCGCAAACTTCAGATATCGATCATGAACAGGGGGTAATTGAACACACGACCGTCGGAACCCTCTCTACGAGGCGCAGCGTGAGAACTTTCTAGGAAGCAGTCTCCTCCTACCTACTGTGCAAGCACATAACTTTCGTGACGGAAGGGTGTAGGCGTAGCGGATGAGCGAAAATGCGAACTGTGGACCAGGCCTAGTACACAGCCATGAGGTTTTCTTTACTGCGGATATCAGCTGATGTTTTTTCTGGGGCGGGAGACGTGCGAGTCACAGGGGTCCCAGACGCCCATTGATGTCGTGCGATAGTTTCGCGAGGGGCTGTAACAAAGGCACACACTGATATGCTGGTGGAGCTTTGCGAAGAGCAGTTTTGACGATTTCGAAGTGGTTACAGAAGAGCTTTCGCGTGCGCATCCATACAAAACGAGAGGCAAAGTTCTTGCTCACCAACTGCACGGGCCGCTGGATGTGGTCGGGCAGCTTGGCGTGGAAGGCAAATTCTTGCACCTTCCTTGCAGCAGTACCGCACGTGTTTGATTTTTTTTTTTGTCTGCTGTACTCCAGGCCTCTTGCTAACAGGGGAATTACTCTTAATGATGAGAATTTAAGAGTAACTTTCAAGTGATTCCGTATATTACACTGCGATTTTTTTCTGAATCCGTCCAGCTTACGGAAACAATTTCGCGCGATTCTTCAGCCTAACGAGTACTTTTTTTTCGAATCCGTACGGGCTAACTAGTAGCAGGGCAATCTGTAGGGGGTAGCCCTCACCCCCACACACCCCCCCCCCCCCCCCCCCGCCCCCCCTTCGATCACTTGCTAGCCGAATTTGTAGCGGCCGATTCCTTTCGGTAACGGGTTTTTCTGGGAGAATTCCGTCTGTTAACGGGTAATCTTGAGGCGATTCCGTCCCCTTCCGGAAGGCTTAGCGAGAGGCCTGCTGTACTCCCCATTATTCGCTCCTCTTCTGCTTTTTTACAGAACACTTGTGTGCACCCGGTCAGTGCTATAGGAACACTCGAGCGACTTGGCTGTTCGTCGCTAGGCGACTCCTGGGCGAGCTGCGACTGTTGCTGGGAAGGAACCACCTGTCGCAGACTGACACTGGCACGAACCACAATTGCTGTTTGCGTAATGGCGAAAGGGGAGGGTGGGGTGTTGAATTAACCGAACAAAACCGAATAATAACGTATGAATTCAACCAGAAACCGTACGTGAGTGCTTAGAAATACTTGAGTTGACAGAGCTAGGGCGTTCAACCATTACCTATCACACTCCGCTGTTACCATTCCTCTAGTTTCAGCAGCCATTATCTCTCACATAGGGCACGATTAGGTCTTCTATAGCAAAAGCACCGAGAAACATCATGTGTGTCCGATCGCAATGCTGACTGTGCACGCTCCGCATCCGTCGAGTTCGTTTGAAGACAAGGGCTGCGGAATGGGTTGCTTCTGTTTTGGGAGCTCTGCGGATAAAGAACCTCCTGTCAAAGCTGAAGGTACATCTGGTCAGAGTCTAGCAATGACAACATACAAAGCACTATTCATCCCGTAACGCTACCTAACGTTTTCCCAGCTAACCTAGCGTCAATGTATTTCCGGAGGTTGTTGTTGGAAACTCACCCCGGTAGTTCCTCGTCCTGCATGATGCGTCTGCATGCTTAGGAGGTTACTCCCGGACCAGAATAGAACGATCTTATTTTTTGTGATGTTGACTCCCTTCCTAACTTTATAGCTAAATCCCGTCGCTCCTTTTCAGAGATTAAAGAGGAGGTCGAATCAGTCGTTAGCGAGGAACCAGAGGAGCAGATAGTCTACGCTGGTGTTCAAGATAGAGCTATATGGAACTGTCCTGGAGGCCGGCACATCTCAGGTAACGTGAAGCTCTTTCCGTAGCCGCTCACAAGCTGTGTAATGTGGCAATCTAACCCAGTCTGGTAATCTGTTCAGGAGATTTTTCGATGGCGGTTTGTCAGGCGAACACGATACTTGAAGATTTTTCCATTGTCCAGAGCGGGAAGTTCGGAACATTTGTGGGGGTTTTTGACGGACATGGCGGAGCCCAAGCTGCAAGTTTTCTCAATGACAACATGTATTCCATATTAGACAGTAAGAACATCCTTTTCATGCGTTCGCCGTGCAGTTATACTTTTCAGCTATAGACATTGGCGAGGCAGCTCGTTCGTTTTATGCTGCATCAATGAAGTCTCGAATGTCGCGTTTTGCTTGCAGGAGCCACAGGGGAAGCTGGTGGACCAAGTGAAGAGAGTTTCAGAAAGGCTTTTGAAGACGCAGAAGCGCAGTTTTTGGAAGTAGTCAGAGAAAACTGGAAGATGAAGCCAATCTTTGCTGCAGCAGGTTCCTGTGCTCTCGTTGGGTTAGTACAGTCATCCACTCTATACATTGCTTCAGTAGGCGATTCCAGAGCAGTTGTCGGCTCACTTGATCCCGACGGTGATGGAACTTCTTTACGAGCGGAGGAGGTCTCAGAGGAGCACAGTGCTAGTTGCGAGAAGACCAGGCAGGAGGTCAAGGAAATGATTCAAGGGGATGACAATATTCTCGTCGAGAAAGGTGGTGTTTGGCGTGTGAAAGGGATTATTCAGGTGAGCATGCAGTTGAGGTCCTTTTTATGTTCGTGCAATCATGTTCTGCAAAGTGACCATGTTTCATCTTTGTCGCCAGGTAACACGATCAATCGGAGATTTCTACTTGAAGCATCAAGAGTTTCAGAACAATCCACTGTACACTCGGTTTCGCTTGCCGGAACCCCTCACGACTCCAGCCCTCATCTGCCAGCCGTCACTACTAGTCAAACCATTGACTGCGAAGGATCGCTTCGTTGTCTTTGGCTCAGATGGGCTTTGGGAAAACGTCTCAAACGAGGAAACTGTGGAGATCGTGTCAAAGTTTCCAAGACTGGTGAGTTCCATTCTCCAATTGCATTGCTTGTACACAACAGGAGACATGTAGTTGAGCAATACAGCAGGAGTGAGTTCATGCACGGGGGTCTTGCTCAGGGTACATCTGCTTGGTGCGCAGGTGAGGCCAGCTGTATGGAAAGGGCAAGCCATGCTTTCTTTTCATTCATATTTGTGTGCGCACTGTATTAGCGTTTACTTCACAATCGGCCTGTTCTGTTTTGGAAGCCCACGTGTGCATTGGAGTGTACCCCACATCTTCACCACTACTCACTGCTAACAGACTCTGGCATTCAAATTGCTGACAGAAAGTTTTATGGGAAGAGAATGAAACTGCAACACTGCACTTTCCTCCACATAGAGTTCCATGGCTATCTGGCGTCTTTCTCATGACACGCACTTTCCCCCACATAGATGTCCATTGGCTATGTGGCGTCTTCCTCATGGCTCATTGTTTCGGAGCATGCAATTAGTCTTTCTGTATTCGTTCGAAGCTTCCTCTCTCTAAGTGCTAAGAGTTGTCGTGGTGGCACGTCTTTTGTCGCAGGGCATAGCAAGGCGACTAGTGAAGCTTGCCATGATTCGCGCCGCAAGGAAGCGGAAGCTGACCTATGGGGATCTCAAAAGACTAGGACCGGGTCGGAGACGGCAGGTGCATGATGACATAAGTGTCGTGGTTCTCTTTCTAGACAGTGCAGTGGGAAAGGGCAAGAAGAAGCCGATTGCTGACATCACAGTAAAATCGTATCAGACATTGACACCTCGGCCAGAAGATGGTTCAGTTCCAGAGGAGGAGGAGGTTCCAGATGATTTCAAGTTTGGGGCAGACGACAGCAGTGCAGCTGATGGGGATGGAGTTGATGGCACACCAGCAGCAGAGTCATGAACTGACATAGACCAACCATTGAAGGCAATGGAATTACAAGTTCTAGGAGCTAGTTGAGATAGCACAAGTGCCAGCCTCTTTGTTGCTGTCTTCCATCTATAGCGTTGACACCTGATAAACTTAGGATGTCTTTGTTTCTCCAGCACTTTCCATCTCCATGGAACTTTTGTGAGTGGGGGTAATCTATGGCAGCCAGCTTTGGCAGGGATGGGGTTCTGTCCTCAGTGTGTCCCTTCATTTCCAGGGTTGTACTGTGTTGAAAATATACTTTTCAAAACGGATGCACCATAACAGCCAGCATTCACATGTGGAAATCTTGCTTGGGTACATGGGCAGATGCTGCACGCCCAATTATAAATGTTGCCAAGGAGAAAACAAGCCCAAAGATGGCATACAAGAAGGATCTGTCCATTGGAAAGCCGTAAAGTGTGATGCCACATGGACAATGTTGAAGATAGGTAACTGGAAAAAGGCCAGCAATGTCAGTAAAGACTTTATGGACCTCAGCGACGAGGCGGCCAGTCAGCACATACTTACCAAATGCAACCCGCTTGTGGAAGGCATCATTTTCGTAGTTCTTAGGCTCTTTCTCAATCCCTGCAATGTCTACCAAGGTTGCCGCTCCTGACCCAACCCTGTGAAGCATCTTGATCAGACCTTGGCCGGCGAGAAGTTTTTGCCCCTCCCCTTCTTGGACAGCCTGGAACTGTCCTTGTTCAGCTCCACCTTGCTGCGAGTTGCTCATGTCAAGAGCTCCTTCTACCACTGACGTCCCTGGTGCCAAGCCTTCACCATCGAAACCCACAAAAGAGATTCCTGCATGCAGCTGGACGTCATTGCTTCCAGATCGTGGGCATCCATCCATTGTTGTGGAAGCCAATGCAGCTTGAACACTGGAACATCCAGGTCGGCTGGGCGGCATTCTCAATGTCCTAGGAGCTAGCAGTGAAGGTGGCTGTGCACACTTTCCTGCGTGCATTGCACGATGGATGTTAGATAGAAGTGGCATTGCCAAGTGCTGAGCTGCTGCTCGAGGAGGTGTGGTCACAGGAACAATGGATGAAAGGATTTCTGAGCCTTCAAAGGGCACAGCTGGCTCATTGCTGCTTGGTGGATGTGGCATCTCCATACAAGAGCCAGCAAAGTTCCGGCAGGTGGCTGCTGCATGCCACTGGCTGACGACTGTGACAATTTTGTGACCTTGATGGGTTATACGGGCAGCACCATGCAGACAGAGAAGCACACCTGCGAGCTGTACATATGCACAGACCTGCACAACCAGAGGCACTGGTCAGTCGCAGAAAATACATCATACTAAATATCGCTTCACAAAAGCTTTCTAACCATGAGGTCAGCCGCTTGAGAAATTGGAGTAGATCCATGGAGCCGCAGGAATGAGAACAGTGCTGAAAATTGTGATGCACAAACGACCAGAAGAGCCTTCAACAGGAAATTGCGGAACTGGTGGCTGATGGTCGCCATGTGATCTCTCAGCTGCATGTGATGGCTCAACATAGCAGCCACATCAACCTCGTCTTCAAGTCGTTCAATGTATGCCTGCCGGTGCATATGAACTTCAAATATTTGTTGCATAGGACTTCCAGAACAGGCTGGTGCACAGGACTTACCTGGATTCTGATGGCTTGCAGAGAGCACAACAAACGGAAGAGAACACAAACAAACAAGTAAACAAGGCTTTGGTAGGTCCAAGAAATCTCCAGCAGAACAGTCCATGCTGTGGCCATGCCTGCGCTTGTAATCCTATCTGCCTCGTGGGAACAAAACGGGGAAGCTGCTTCAGCAGGGGAAAACCAGACGGCGTTTTTCAGTGTCTTGATAACCAAGGCAGGCAGGATAAGTAGCATCAGCGACCTCACGAGTTTCTGCACATACAATTTGTTTGTATGAAGCAGCTGATTTGCTGTAAGAAACGGCTCAACAGCATCAATGCTGGAAAGTAGTAACACTTACTTGGAGCTCAATCGGGTACTTCCTCTTAACATTTGACGGGTCTGCTTTGAATACGAAATCCAGCTGTAGCACTTGTCTCAGACCTGGCTGTTGCTGCATCCTTGTCAGGAAGGTGAAGGACGCAATGCATAGGATAGTGTCAATGCAGGTAACCAGACGCTTGAAAGAGTGGTCTTGACCAAGATGGGTGTCAGAGCAACGAACGCTTGAGAAAGATATTCCAGGGACGAGGACGCCAAGTATCAGGAAAACAGTCCACGAAAATATGAAGCTCCAAGTTCCTGACTGGTCAAGACAAAACCACTGAATGCGCGATATAAACAGGTCAAATTCTCGAGATGCGCGAGAAGGCTGACGGATGAGCTTCATATTGGGAAACGGCTTCATAATCCGCTCTTTGAGTGAGCGACGAGTTAGGGAGGTCGCACAGCAGGATGTGCTGCTTGAGCGTGAGCTACTTGTGGAATCTGCTGGTGTATGTTGAACATTTTCAGCTCCCTCATGTTCGGAGTCTAGTATCGTGCAGCCTTTGTCCGAGGTAAGATCCAATAAGTTGCTGCTGGAAGGGCACTTTCCAGCTGGCAACGCAACGGTCTGATCATGCTCAGCAATGGCTGCCTCTGTCATTCTCATGATGCTGACATAAGGACTACAACCAGTCTCGGAAGAATCTGAATCACGGGAGATGGAGCTACCACTGGAGGTTGATGCTGCTGAAGCCCAAAATGGAAAGCCAACGTTGGCTGTCTGTGAACGAACGAACCCTGAACATCCGAACGGATCCTCAACATCAGTAAACACTCTCAACATACTTCTTGCCAACTGAATTGTAAGGCGAGGTGCACCTAACCTATTACGGAGCTTGAAAGAGAAATGGCTGACATTGCTGTCGAAATGCCTGAAAATGGGGAGTGCTTGGATTGGAGACACCTGGTCGAAGAAAATCCACAAAACCAAGCTGGCATCTGTAACAAGAACGCCACAGTGTTGTATTCTAAGGTTCATTTCAGGTATTGACTGTGATTGTGTGGTTCTGGTGAGCGTGATTTTGGACACCCACTCTCGCATGAGGGACACATTGGACGTGACGGGCAGATTCTCGTGCTTTTCCTTACCTTTTCTGATGATTTCGCCAATCAGCAATCGAGCTAGCTCCTTTTGTGACTTTGCCCGCCCCGCTGAATCTGCCCAAGATAATCCCTGAACTTCTTAGTCCCTCTTGTCTCGGGATTTTCGCTGAGGCAACTCCCCTAATCCTTCTGTGCATCCCTCTAAATGCCTACGCAAACCTCTTGATGCCTCCGTTACACTGCGACTCCCCATTGTGTTTCTTCCATTCAGATGCGAGTTGCTGCAAGGCATGCACAAGAGTGCATCAGCTTCGCCAGGTGCCGTAGTAGCATGGCCTGTTAGGAGAATCCTCATGCCTGGTCTTGTGAGCGCGAAATCACGCGGTTCGATGAAGACAATGCGGGAGGGGACCATGTCGAGGCCTCGGTTGGAGCAGCGAGGCACGAGCAGCGTACTAATACGCGAATTAGTTCGCACTAAGCTAGTGTTTCTATACGTTCTACTGGACTTCCAAGGGCGCGCACAGCTCTACTACTCCTTACGCTACTGCTCTTCTTCGCCTGATTTTCAATTTGCGCACACGACTGTTCACAGGCCATCACAGGCGACATGGCTACTACTGGATCCGTCTCTGTATGGTGGGATGTGGAAAGCTATCCCATCCCTGGGGTCCTTTCTCCAGTTGAAGTCATCGAAAACGTCAACAAGTTCCTTGAGATGAGAGGAATTCACGAGGCTTGGAGTTTGAACATCTTCGGCAGCGTTTTTCGTGTTAATTCGGCCACAAGCCTTATTTCTAACGTGAAAATCCATCAGTATCCTCCAGGTTCGGCAAAGGATTGTGGGCTTCTTTTTATGCTTACTGTTCTGTTATTTTATCCAAGCATTTCAGTTCATCGGTATTTTTTTCGTCTTGTGTCTTGCGTGTATGCCAGGTAGAGCAATGATTCACGAGACTATCCTCTTCTGGGCACTTGACGCGCGTCCGCCAGCAGCTATGCTCGTCGCTGCAGCGCCCAGTCCTGACCTCTCGCGCGTTCTGCTCGGTCTGAAGCACCGGGATTTCCGTGTTATCCAAGCTTACCCGTCAATTCTCAGTGTCGCTCCACAAGCATCAGGTTCTATGCCGGAGTCTCTCAGTTCGGATTCGCAACAGTGCTTCAAGTCCAGTTTTAGAAGTCAGATTTCGGTAGATCTACCGGACGCCGAAATCGTGGACTGGGAATATGTCTCAGCTGGATTTTCCTCGCCTGACAAGCTCAGCCTGTCAAGATTCCCTCTGACCGACGTGACGCCCCGCAAATTGCTTCAATACGTCATGCACTCGTTAGAATACGACAAGCTCCTACCCAGCGACTTCAATGTCCAAGCACGCCTCCGCTATGTCATGGCCAAGCAAGGGCTCAAGGACGTCCCAGGATGGTCCTCATGGAAATTCGTTGAGAAGGCTCTAGCAGCTGGGGAAATCAGGGTCATGTCGGAGGAGTGTAACGACGTCTATCTGCCCAAGGGGAGGGACAGATGCTGGCCGTGGATCGACCCGTCGTTCCCCTGCAACGTTTACGAGGATGACATCTGGCTGGCGCTCCAGAAGTACCTTCTCGCTGAAGGACGTTGGGCAATGGAGTCTTCCAAAAGCAGGTAATCCGGCCTGGCTTTCTTTACCCGTCTAGCTCTTTCCCCTTTGCTTTTGCATGCTCCTTCCTTCCTTCCTCCCGCTTCTCTCACTTGTCTTTTTTATCGTTTTCAGGTACCATGCAGCAGAGACTCTGAAGATAGAGGGTCCTCAGGAGCTGAGGCAGCTGGTCATGGGTCAGCTGATCCACGTGGTGCAGCTCTCAGTCACTCTCCGAGGCTGGTTGAAACCCCACCCGACCAAGTGGGCTCCCGTGCAAGTGACTATACGCGAAGCTGCCCCACTCTTGCACCCAGGCCCACTCGTCTCTCCTAGGTCACTTTCAACTGCTGCCTCTCCTTCAAGCAAGGCGTCGGGCTACAGCGCTGCTGCGAGAGCTGGAGTTGAGACAAGCAGAGCGCGTGCAGGGACGCGATCTGACATCTGCAGTGTGGATCAACGAGCTCATTCAGGCACTTCGGCTGCTTCTGCCTCACCGACAAGGCTGAGTCTGCCAGCAATTGCATCCATCGTTTCCAGGCCAGGTATCCCCTCTCGTCACCTGCTGGGAAGAGAGCTGGCTGAGGTCAAGGCACAGAGCCCCCTTCCTGGAAATGAGAGGCTCAGGGGAGGCACGGAACGTGGGATAGAGGAGCAGGGGAGGGATCAGAGGCATGGGGGCAGAGGCATGGGTGAACAGGAGGTGCCTGTGAAGCCATGGGATGACATACTCAAGGTGGCTGCAACCTTATCTGAACAAGAAGCAGCAGGAGAGGAGTATAGTTGCCCCAGAAACGACGAACGTTTCCGAGGCGACTGGAGATCGACCCCGAGGTCAGCAGCAGCAGCTGCAAATCTTGATGGCTTGCAGGTCATCTCCCCTTCCCCCATGTCTTGGCGCCGCAGGCAGAAGCTTCAGGAGTTCCGTGAGTTTGCCAGCAGGGTGCTCCTGAGCCAGCCACACGGGATGCAGTTGGATCAGCTCCAGCGGGAGTGTGCGCGCAAGATGCCGCGGGGATTCAACCCTGAGGCGCTGGGGTTCGCGAGCATGAGGGACGTGCTGGAGAGCATGAAGGACATGGTGCGGATGGAGGTGTTCCCTGAGGGGTTTGCGCTGGTCTATGCTGCTGATGAGCTGAAAGCCACCAGCTCTGGGGCATCTTCCTCGTCCCTCACCATGGCTGCTTCTGCATCATCATCTGTTGCTGCTGCTGCCGCTGCTGTTGCGGCGGCTGCTGCAGCACATGGACCGGAGCATGATAGACCACCTTCAGCAGGTACTGCTGCCGTTGCTGCTGGCAGCACCGCTAGCAGCGCCCGCCTCTCTTCCACTCCTGCTAGCACTCCTCCCGCCTCTCCTCCTCCTGTTCCCAAGCCTCGTCCAGAAGGCTATCGTCGGTTTGACACCAGCTGGGGTGGCGAATGCTCCCCACACTTCTCTCCACGGTCCTCCCCGCGCTCCTCTCCGTCCCTTCGCTACAAGGAACCACCATTTGTGGACAGGAGGCCTGCAAGGGAGCATGTCCGGACGCCCTCATTCTCGTCTCCTCTAAGTCCGTTCACAAGTTTGATGTCTCCTCCTTCCCTAGATGCCTCCCCTTCTCCCCGACCACTTGGAGCATTCAGGGGGCAGCAGAGGCCAAATGGAATGGGGGAGGAGGGCCAGGAGTGGAGCGAGGGCAGGAACAATGCATGGGACGAGGGGATGAGTTGGGATGAAGACAAGAGGTGGGGCTTTTGTGGTGGATTGCAGGAGGGAAGCACAGCGTGGGGGTCTCCTGCTGGTGGCAGGCGGTGGACTGAGGGCGGGTGGAAGAAGGTGAGGGACGTGAGGGACGTGAGGGACGTGAGGGACGTGAGGGAGGTGGAGGAGGCACGAAAGGAGGGGAGTGAAGGGAAGACGGTGGAGGAAGCAGGTCAGCAAGCAGAAGAAGTAGCAGTTGTGCATGTGGCTGCTGCAATACCAGGAGCACCGGAAGGGTCTGCAACGTATACAGCGACATCTGGTCCATCTGTTGGTGGAGAAGAGCCCTTTGCACCGCCGCCTTCCTCTGCTGCGTCCGATGGCGGTGGGGCAGTGTTGCACAACAAGCCACACATCAAGCCGGCACCACTGCCCCGTCTCGAGCTCCCTTCTGCAATCCTTACCACAGAAGCAGCAACAGAAACCAGCAAGGGCAACCTGTCAGAAGCTAGGCCGGGCAAAACAACAGGTGTGGGGAAAGGCAGAGGGGCAGAGGGCGGGCAGGGCAGGGCATTGCACAAGGCAGAGCTTATGAGGAGCGATCTGAGGCAGCTGATGCAGGAGGTGCTGTCGAAGCCAGGGGTGCAGAAGACAGGTTACCAGCTCGCATTCCTGAAAGGTGCTTTCCTGCAGAAGTATGCGTACCCTCTGGATCACTCAGTGCTGGGGTACCCCAAGCTGAAGGCGCTGCTGCAGAGCATGGATGACATTGTCAATGTGGCTGCTGCCCCTGGGGGCCATGGGGTGCTCTTTCCTGCAAAATCTGAGCCATCTGCTGAATCTCACTCGTCTTCTGCCCAGTCACTTGTATTTTCCACATCCTCGTCATTGGCGTCATCAAAGGGGGTGTATAACAAGATCACTGGTGCAGGGGTTAATGCAGGCGAGGCGTCAGTGAAGGAGGTGGTGAAAGCGGCCACGCATTGGCAGGTGAAGTCCCAGCCTGCTGGCAAGGCTAAAGAGCCTTCACCTGCACCCTCTGATGCGGCAAGTACATCAAGCTCTACACCAGCAGCATGTTTCCCTGGAGACGAGCCCACGGTGGCAGCTCTCGTTGCTCATAGCCCGATTTATGATCAACACTTGGAGATGTCACCCTTTGCGGAGGAGGGTACAGCGGCAAGGGATGAGGGATCACCGCCACAAGTGGCAGCACTTGTCCTGGCCAGTCTAAAAGGGAAGTTGGAGGGGTCTACCGGTACCTCAAGCGCACCTCATTATGCTGATGCTGAAGATGACATTGATGCTAGAGAACGGGGTAGGTGGTGCTCAACTTTGTGATCAGTTATACTCGTTGAGTATTCTCTAAATGCCCTCACGAAGGCTGCTCTTTTTTAGTACAAACGAATGCTTTTCCCCTGACGCCTTGGTGTACTGTGAACTTCGCTGACTTGTGCGCTACTGTAGGCATGAAGGCTGGAGCTTACCTGGCTTCAGACAGCCATGACGTGTCGGCCGTCACGCACTGGCGCTCACATGCAGTGGCAGGTCAAATGCCCCCACTTCCCTTGTGACACCTCTGCTGGCGAAACTGCAGTCAGCCTTTTCTTGGAATATGTCCAGCTGACGTGGGATTCAGCGCAAAGAATCTCTTTCCATTTCGCTCAGTCTTGTGTTGTTCACTTCCACGTTCTGCCTTTCTGTGCGCTCCTGCTATTGCCATAGAAGACCCTGCTCTACATTTATTTTCTGAAATGTCAAAAATTTCCTGTTGCGTTTTCAGCAATCCAGAATATTGAGCTTACAGGTTTGTAGCAGTTCAGTTCCGTATGCTACTTAATGTCGCGTCTAATATTATAAAAAAAACGACATTTATCCAGGAATAGTTGTGCGGAGCACGAGGTCAGGTGCGCCGTCATTTTCTCAAGGAGGCCTTGATTCGTTGCCGCTATTCCGCCGTAAATCTGTCTAACCGAAAAGGCTACTTATCAGGCATTAGAGAAATAGCTAACTACTAAAACGCCGTCACACCTCCGCACAGATGGAGGCCGTCCCTCCAGGCGCAGCAGCTCGGCTCGTCCCGTGCACCGATCCTGCCAAAGCACCGCAACCCGAGCTCGGCACGCGCGAGAGCATTCAGAGCATATGGGACGACGAGCTGAGCCGCGCGAAATGCGCCGTCCATGGCGGGGACTGCCAGGGAGGGGACGGCGGATGCGCTCCGTCTCTCAGGAGTTCTTCGGGGGAAGCGTTGGAGGGACGTGGTGGCAGTGGGGGAGTGCCACGTGGCGTTCAGCAGCTGTTGAACGAAGCGTTTGCTGCCATCCCCGTGTCGTCTTTCCCGCTTCCGCCACGCGGAGAAGGTGCGCTGGTGCTTGGAGTACTTTCGTGAGGTAACTGAAAGCACTTTCAGGTGAGTTCCTACTTGGGGTAACAATCACTGTGCTCTGATAAATGCCTCCCATGCCCCCTCGTCATTTCTCCCACTCATGTCCTCACATTTACTTAAAGCGGGGGACCCAAGTTGATCAACTGTAAAACAGTTGGTTGGGACGGAAACTACTGATTGGCCGGCGAGTGGTAGGCACCAGCGAAATCGGCTGGAAGTGTTGAAATTTCGATTGCTTTCGAAAATTTAGTCACTGGCCCTCGCGACCCCTGTGTCCCAGGTTGTTTCGGGAGGAACCTCGAAGACCCAAGTTTTGGGACCTTGTTTTACAGATGGTTTGCGCGCTCAGATTGGCTAGCGAAAACCAATCGCAACCTGCTGATTCACGCACCCTCACGACACAAAACCTGGTTTTTCCCAACCAACTGTAAAACACTTGCCCCAGGTTCTAGAAACTTGGGTCCCGGGCTCCTCATTAAAAGTGACCCCTTCTCGTGCTCTTCTGCTCTCCTGCTCCCTCTCCTGCTCTCTTCTCCCCCCCCATCAACCTCCCTCTCTCCCCTCCCAGTGGTCGAGATCTCATCTGACGCGTCCATTCTCGAGGCCGTACGCATCCTGTCCGTCCATCGCATTCTCTCCGCCCCTGTCCGCAACGCCAGGCTGACAGGCGCAGCAGGCGGGCCGGACGGAGGGCAGGGGGGAAGCCTGGGGGCAGAGGCGAGTGGGAAGATGGCTGAAGGCAGAAAGGGAGGGGGAGGAGTAGCGGGAGGAGAAGCAGGAGGGGGAGGATTAGGGTTAGGAGCGCAGCTGGGGTGGTCTGAGCGGTATCTAGGCATGGTTGACTATGCAGGAGTCATGATGTGGGTGCTGCAGCAGGCTGACCTGGCAGCTGCCACGCTGGCAGCAGGCACTGCAGCGCTGACAGGTGTCGGCGTGGGAGTGGTGGGAGCGCTGGGAGCTGCAGCATTGGGGGTGGGGGGCGCGCCGTTGGCAGTGTCAGGGGTGGCAGCAGCAGCGGTGGGGGCGGCGGTGGCGCGGGGGTTGAGTGATAGGAGGAAGCAGGGGGGGAGGGGGAGCGGTGCTGCTGCTGCTGCAGCGGACGCCCTTGGCACGGACTTCTTTCATATGATCACTGAAAACGAGCCGTTCAAGTCAGCTACAGTAAGTGGTACTGTAAGACAGGCAGCGCCTTGTAATCGCTCAATGCCACACTAGCAGGTCAAATTGGCTACAGTGAGTACCCATGTAGGAGAGAAAAGCGCCTTACACGGCCCTCGTCATCGACTCCAAATGAGGTAAGAAAGAATGGAAAGAGCCCTTCAGAACAGCTGCAGGAGGAATGTGCTCCTTTCCCACCGCTGGGCGCCCTTCGTGCCCATGCAGCCCAGCGACTCCATGCTCACGCTGCTACTGCCCCCCCTGCCCCCCCTGCTCACCCTGCCCCCCCTGCTCCCCCTGCCCCCCCTGCTCCCCCTGCTCCCTCTGCGCCGCCTGCATACCTCCTTCTTTCCCATTTCCCTTCAGGTGGCAGACATTACCCGCTCCTACCGCTGGGCGCCATTCTTACCGGTGCAGCCCAACGACTCCATGCTCACGCTGCTGCTGCTCCTCTCGCGCTTCCGCATGCGCTCCGTGCCAGTTGTCGCGCTCGGATTGGCCCCCCCGGCCCCCCGCCTGCACAACCTCATCACCCAGTCCGCTGTCATCCGCGGCCTCGCCAGGTACACTTGGACAGGCTTATGTGAACAGGTGGAATATGGTCAGGTGCACCTTTCCTATCCGCAGTCATCCGTGGCCTTGCCAGGCACACCCGGCACCTGCCTGTTTTCCCTCTCTTTTTAGGGTTGCACACAAGGCCTGGTACAGGTGGCATTGCCGCATTGGTCTGGTGTGCACGGCTCTTGACGTCGGTGCACAGTCAGCTATGCTGAAGCTTCTGTCCCCCTGTTTTTCCCTTCCCGTCCCTGGTGCCATGCTCTTGATTGGTCTGATGTGATTGCACACTAGCCCCTCCCGGACCTAGGCCTGCCACTGCCGACCATGAAAGTAGATTGTTGGAATACACATGACCTCTATGCGTATCCCTCTTTCCCCCCCCTTCGCCTCGCAGGTGCCGTGGCTTTGATTGGTTTGACGTGATTGCAGACAAGCCCCTCATGGACCTGGGCCTGCCCATTTTGGGAGCAGAGGAGGTGAGCTGCCTTCACGGTTGAGCTAGTGACCCAGTTGCCGAGCCACTGACCCAGTGGCCAAGCTAATGACCCAGTGGCCGAGCTAATGACCCAGTGGCCGAGCTACTTACCCAGTGGCCGAGCAGTGACCCTGTGGCCAGTTACTTACACAGTGGCCGAGCTACTTACCCAGTGGCCGAGCTACTCACCCAGTGGCCGAGCTACTTACCCAGTGCCGGAGCTACTTACCCAGTGGCCGAGCTACTTACCCAGTGGCCGAGCTACTTATCCAGTGGCCGAGCTACTGACCCAGCGTCCGAGCTACTTACCCCGTAGACGAGCTACTGACCCGGTGGCCGAGCTACTGACCCGGTGGCCGAGCTACTGACCCAATGGCCGAGCTACTTACCCAGTGACCGAGCCACTTACCAAGTGGCTGAGCAGTGACCCTGTGGCCCAGTTACTTACACAGTGGCCGAGCTACTTACCCAGTGGCCGAGCTACTTACCCAGTGGCCGAGCTACTGACTCAGTGGCCGAGCTACTCACCCAGTGGCCGAGCTACTCACCCAGTGGCCGAGCTACTTACCCAGTGGCCAAGCTACTTACCCAGCGGCCGAGCTACTTACCCAGTGGCCGAGCTACTGATCCAGCGGCCGAGCTACTTACCCAGTGGCCGAGCTTCTTACCCAGTGGCCGAGCTACTTACCCCGTAGACGAGCTACTGACCCGGTGGCCGAGCTACTGACCCAGTGGCCGAGCCACTTACCCAGTGGCTGAGCAGTGACCCTGTGGCCCAGTTACTTACACAGTGGCCGAGCTACTTACCCAGTGGCCGAGCTACTTACCCAGTGGCCGAGCTACTGACTCAGTGGCCGAGCTACTCACCCAGTGGCCGAGCTACTGACCCAGTGGCCGAGCTACTGACCCAATGGCCGAGCTACTTACCCAGTGGCCGAGCCACTTACCCGGTGGCTGAGCAGTGACCCTGTTGCCCAGTTACTTACACGGTGGCCGAGCTACTTACCCAGTGGCCGAGCTACTTACCCAGTGGCCGAGCTACTTACCCAGTGGCCGAGCTACTGACTCAGTGGCCGAGCTACTCACCCAGTGGCCGAGCTATGACCCAGTGGCCGAGCTACTTACCCAGTGGCCAAGCTACTTACCCAGCGGCCGAGCTACTTACCCAGTGGCCGAGCTACTGATCCAGCGGCCGAGCTACTTACCCAGTGGCCGAGCTTCTTACCCAGTGGCCGAGCTACTTACCCCGTAGACGAGCTACTGACCCGGTGGCCGAGCTACTGACCCAGTGGCCGAGCCACTTACCCAGTGGCTGAGCAGTGACCCTGTGGCCCAGTTACTTACACAGTGGCCGAGCTACTTACCCAGTGGCCGAGCTACTTACCCAGTGGCCGAGCTACTGACTCAGTGGCCGAGCTACTCACCCAGTGGCCGAGCTACTGACCCAGTGGCCGAGCTACTTACCCAGTGGCCAAGCTACTTTCCCAGCGGCCGAGCTACTTACCCAGTGGCCGAGCTACTGACCCAGCGGCCGAGCTACTTACCCAGTGGCCGAGCTTCTTACCCAGTGGCCGAGCTACTTACCCCGTAGACGAGCTACTGACCCGGTGGCCGAGCTACTGACCCAGTGGCCGAGCTTCTGACCCAGTGGCCGAGTTACTACCCAGTGGCCGAGCTACGTACCTAATGGCCGAGCTACTGACCCAGTGGCCGAAGTTTCAATTTCTAATTGTGTGCTCGATTGCTCTGGCTCTCTCATCCCAGGTAGCAAGGAGAAAGGGGTGGGGGGCAATGGGGGAGAGAAGGGGGATGTTCTTTAACTGAAGTTCCAGATCGTGTTTGTATGGCCTCTTACTCACTCTCACCAGGTGGTGTCAGTCCGTGTGGGTTCGTTGTGCTGTGAATTGAATGGGGGAGAGTGTGGCAGTGTCTGTGGATGCATTTGAAAGAATCTGAAAAGTTGCATTAGCCGTGTGAATGCAAGCACACATAGGATTCTAGAGAGGCTTGAGAGGGAAGGGGGAACAGTGCCACAAAGCAGTTGGGGAAAATCCAATTATGGTTGGGTCGCCCAATCACTGTTTGGAGAGACCAAAGTGGTTGGAGGACCAACCACCATTGGCGCCACTTGCTTGGCCCAACAAGTGTGGGCTTGGTGCTCGGGGGCTCCAACCACTTGGGGGTTGGATTGACACCCCTTGCATAAAGTGTGTACACCACAGATTGGTGTACACCTACAGAGCACACTAACCTAGCATGTTATAATACATATAATCTAACAGCATTATTTTTCATTGAATGCACGTAGGCCGAGACACAATCTCTCTTACCCCATCCCACGTGGTGCCAGTGCATGCGGGCGAGTTTGCACTGGAGGCGTTTCTGCTGACGAAGGAGAAAGGGGTGTTGGACGATGAGGGGGAGAGGGGTATCACTTTACCTACTGTCACTCTTTTGCTAAAGTTTTTCACCTTCGCTGCAGCTCATCCTAACGCTTATGGCTACGAGTTGGCACTGGAGGCGTTTCTGCTGACGAAGGGGAGTTGGACGATGAGGGAGAGAGGGGAGACTGCTTTTGAGGCGCCTCAAAAGCTTTTGAGACTGCTTTTGAGGAGCCTCCAAAGCAGAAAGATGTGCTGGACGATGAGGGGGAGAGGGGAGGACAGTAACTGGTTACGCTTTCTCACATTCCAGGTGATATCAGTGGACGTGGGCGCGTTGGCATCTGCTGACGAAGGAGAAAGCTGTGGGCGGCGACAGGGGAGGGGGGAAAGGGTGGTTACAATAACGTATGCTCATTTGCTCTAATAACGTATGCCCATTTGCTCTCTCTCGTTCCAGGTAATGTCAGTGCCTGTGGGCGCGTTGGCACTGGAGAGATTTCTGCCGATAAAAGGAGGAGGAGGTGTTGGATGATGAGGGAGAGAGGGAAGGACAGCAGCTGAGGTTCCAGATCTGATTATGCATTCCCATTTGCCCATTTGCTCTCTCTCGCATTCCAGGTTGTGTCAGTGGACGTAGGCGCATTGGCACTGGAGGCGTTTCTCCTGATGAAGGAGAAAGGGGTGGGCGGCGTGCCGGTAACGGACGGCCCAGATCGCATCCTGTACGCCAACATCAGTGCAAGGGACGTGGGGCTGCTGCTGCTGCACCCAGACATGTTCCACTCGAGGAGGTGAGTGTGAGCAGAAACTTCCACGCATCCTGCCCTGCCTTGTGGCACCATTGCAGTCCATTATTCTGCGCCCTTCTTTGAGAATTCTAGAAAATGACCTCTCTCCCCCCATATCTCTCTGACTCTCCTCAAGCCCAGTAGCTTCCCCGTCCCCCCCACAATCCCACCTCCTCGCCAGCCGCCCCCCACAACCCCCCCCCCTTCTTTCCAAACCACACTGCCACTTGACTGTGCGCGAGTTTGTTGACAGTGGGTGCATTGGTCTGCCAGCAGGAGAGCTGCGCACTCTTTACTTGTGCACCTTCCTCCCTCTTTCTGAACCACGACTCAGAATCTCCCTTTCTCCGGCCCCTCCCACCCCCTCCCAGCCACTTGACTGTGCGCAACTTTGTCAAAAGCTGCATCGCCCTGCAAGCAGCTGAGCCGAGCTGCACACCCCATTGTTGTCTTGTCTCCCTTCCCTCCACACATTCGCAAGCACAGCTGAGTGTTCCCTCTCCCTCCTTCCCCCTTCCCCGTCCCATCCCAGCCACCTGACTGTGCGTGACTTTGTTGACCGCTGCATCGCCCTGCAAGCAGCGGAGATTCAGGTGCCACCTACTTCCTCCCTTGACATTCCTGACCCCGCAGCAGCAGCTGCTTCTACAACTACCACCAGTACCACTGTTACCAACCTAGCCCCCTCTAGCGGCACACCAGCTGAAGTCACTGAAAGGAGCGGCAGCAGCAGCAGCGCGGACAGCAGCAGTGGTGCTGTGGTGGCGATGCGGCCGGCAGTGACCTGCAGGCGCACCGACAGCCTTGTGTCGGTGATAGAGACGCTGGCGAGGATGGGCATGCACCGTGTGTATGTGACGGATGACCACGGCCGGCTGCAGGGCGTGGTTACATTACGCGATATCATCTCACGGTTTGTTTTGGAGCCGGAGGGGTACTTTGATAATTTCCTTGGGGACATGGCCCGCGCATGGGAGTAAGACTCAGTGAGGAAACAGTGTTATTGCTATGCTGTGTCTACACAGTATGGCAGAGAGCCAACTTCGTCCATACAGTATGACGAAGGGTGCTTATATGCAGTGACCTTGCTTTGACAAGGAGAGACATGACTTAAAAATTTTACTGGTACAAAAGCCATGTAAAAGCAAACTGTTAGCGGTGCCAAGTCGCAGCAGCATGTGCTTCACTGCAACACTGCTCCTGGGGGTACTACCAGATCTGGGAGTGAAAACTAAGTGAAGCTGTACATCTCCTGGGGGTACTACCAGATCCTCTCACTTTCTCATACATGCACACATCTGGTCCAGCATGTGTGTGCGCGTGTCCAGCATAGGTCTAATGCATGTGTGCATGGCCGTCCTCGTCCAGGTATCCGAACACCTTGAGCGGGTCATTCCCAAAGTCAATATGCCGATAGTCATCCTCACACCCGCCTCCACCACCTCCCCCGCCGAGCATCATCCCCCCTCTCCCCCCGTCCACATGGTCATGTGCTTGTAACGAAGGGCTCTCCTTACCGCCCTCCTGGGACCAGCTCTTGGTGCTAGAATCGTCCCCGTTGGAGTCATCCCCCTTAGAGTCACACCTCGTTTTAGGGACGAGACTGTGATGGGACCGGCCAATCAGGGATTGACCCATAACCATGCATCCCTGACTTGAAAACATGACGCCACTGCTGTTCTGTCGCCCTGGTGCATCTTTTCCGGGCAGCCCAGAGCCATCCATCCCCTCATGATGCAGGAAATTCACCTGCACGCCGCCACTCGCACGACTCCTTTCATGGCCTTCCACAGCACAGGAAACTTTAAGCTCCTGCCCGAAACCAGCTGAACCACCACCGTACACTGCCCGACCCACCAAATCACTCATTCCCCTTTCTCCCCCCCCTCCTTCCCCTCCTACTTCCGCCACTCCTACTCCTCCTCCTCCCCCCCTCTCCTCCACACTACTGTTCACCGACCCTGCCCGGGCAAGAGACAACGAAGGGGGCAGCATTTGCTGCTGCTGCTGGCCGGCATTGTTTGGCATCATCTGCAGGAACGGGTAACCACCACCCCCTGCTGCTGACGTGGCAAGATGAGACGGGGCGTACGGGGAAGAGGAGTTGACCCCCAAGGAAGCAGGGCCGTGACTGAACGGCTGATTGAAACCCGCACCTCCCATCCCCGAGCCTGCTGCCGAGCCTGTCCCCGGACCAGGGTAGGGAGTGACGCCCATGGGGTATCCTCCCATGCCCATCCCCATGCTCATGTTGTAGCCGGCATATGATGACGTGGTAGCAGCGTAGGATCCGGGATGCTGCATGGGCATGGAGAACTGGCCGTGCTGGTGGTGGTGAGGCATAGGCCACTGCTGCATCCAACCCATCGGGCCAGGTCCGGCAACCGAACCTGGAGCCGCAGGTCCGGAGCCATGAGGTGGCGAGCCTAGCCCCGAGCCTAGGCTCATGTGAGGCACGGAAGAGAGCGAGGGTTGGGAGGAGGAATGGTCCATGGCCCAGGAGGGAATTCCGACACCTGAAGGAACACCTGAGCTGCCAGGAGCAGCAGCAGAAGCCGCGTGGCCGCCGCCACTACTTCCAGGATTAGCGAAAGCATGAATTGGGAGAGGGGGAGAGGGGGTTGTGTCGCCCTCCTGCTGTTGCTGCTGCTGTTGCTGTTGCTGTTGCTGCTGTTGCGCCTTGGCGCCGGGTCGGAATGGGCACCGCAATTGGTGGATGTTCCTCAGATTCCGGTCAGCAAACGCGTTTTTCCACTCGCGCCGCGGGCAGCCCTCGTACGGGCACTTGAAAATCCGGTGCTCGGGAACCAGGTCCCTCCCTCCACCGCCTCCCCCCGCCGCCACACTCCCCCCTGCCCCCTCCCCGTTCCCCCACGGCGACCCCACATCCTCGTTTATAGTAATCCCGGTTCCGCCGCCAGGCACACCGCCAGCGCGCGCGTCACTACCGCCGCCGGATGCGGAGCGATTCAGATTCGCGGCGTACGAGCCAAGCGCGGAGCACGCGCGCTTAAGCTGCCCGCTCATAGGGCTTCCGCCGCAATCCCCGCCGTCACCGCCGCCGCCGTTGCCGCCGGGGCTGCTAACGCTGTTAACGCCGCCGTCGTATGCGGAGAGGGAGAAGGGAGCCAGGTCCGTGGCGCCATTGTCGGCGGCATGCCGGTCCACAGACCGTTGGCCGTCAGAATTAACGGCTCGAAAGAGACCGGCGCCGTTAGGGGTGCCCCCAGCGCCGTTAGCGATGCCGGCGTTCTCGTGTGCAAACGCGCGAAGAATCTTGAGGCCGTTCCCGCGCTGAATAGATGACGGCAAGCCGCTAGCGCTGCTGCCGGCGCCGTTAGGGCCGTTGTTGTTGCTGCCGGCGAGCGTCATGATTCCGCTGCTGACGCTGTTGCTGTGCGGGAGAGCGCTGGCGCCGTTCGGGGCGGGAATCGCGGCGGAATTACCGGGACCTTCACTCCCCGCCGCTCCGTTTGAAGCCGCCTCTTGTTTGCATAGAGCCTCCTCGTTATCGAGCACCATGTGCCATATGCTGGTCTCCCGAGCCGTCATCTTGTCCTGTAGACACTTGCTTTGCCGAACCAGCTTCCGAGGTTTGGCAATGTTCGGAGCCATATGACGAAGCACCGAGGTCAGCACACCAACCTTCCACGCTTTTTTCAAATCGTGAGGCTTCTTATAAGGGGGCGATCCGCTGCCCCGCGGGAGCCCCAGCTGCGGCCACCACGCTTCGTTCCCCGTGGGCCACCACGGCGGGGGTACACCCTTTTCCAACGGGAACCGTCTTTGTGGCGGATCACAGTGCTGCATTAACGCGGATAAAAGCGAACCCAGAGTTGTATCTTGCAGATCTTGTAGTGTACGCGGTGTAGAAATCGAACCGGGCCCAACCAATGGCACGCCGCCAGGCCCAACCACCACCCCGCCCGCGCCAGCGCTCCCGTCAACCCCCGCCCCCCCCGCTGCCGCCGCAGCTTCCATCTGCATCACCATCATTCTCCCCGCTTGCGCCGCCGCTTGTTCCTCGTTATACTTCGAAACCGCCGCGGGCCCGCTGCGGTCGAATTGAACCTCGTCTTTCCACCAGCTGCGGAGGTTGTCGGAGGAGCCCCCGACGGGCTTGCCCTTCTCGGGAATGATGCCGTAGACGAAGCCCTGCGCGTTGCACGCGTCCATGAGCTTGAGCATGTACTTGAGAATTCCGTCGTGCGCGCGCGACATCTTCTTCCGCCGCGCCGCATCTTGCTGCGGAGAAAAAAGGGTTAAAAACACGGGTATTGGGACGGGAGAGGGGGAGAGACGGGGAGGGAGTGAGACAGGACGAACAGTACAAATCCGACTCGTCGGAGGGACATCGTGGAACAGAGGGTTTTCGCAGCTTGCCTCGAAATTGCGATGGATGATCGACGCTCGCGCACGTTCCCCGGCAACTCACTACAACACGCAATTGCGACACGTCGCTATTTGCAAAGCTTCCGCACCTGAGACTGAGTCGGTCTGTGCTTCTGCGGCTGTTGCTCCTCGTCCTCCTCCTCCTCGTCCTCCACGCCCCAATCCGGCCGGCACTTCAGCCCCCCAAACTCCCCATTCTCGCCGGACGAAGCCCCGCCCGCCCCCACTCCCGCGCCCGCCGCCGCCGCGGCGGACGCGTCCTTAATGTGGCGCAGCTTGAGGCGGTCCTTCCACATGCGCTGCTCGAGCTCCTGCACCTCCAGATCGCCCTCCGACGGATCGTGCGGCTCGTCGCCTAAGAGGAGATCCGCCACTTCGCTCATGTCGATTTGTCCCGCTGCTGGAAGACCGTCCATGGTGGTAACTCGTTGAGTGCGTTATGTATGGGAAGTATGAGTTGAGTCGAGAGGGTGCACTGGGATGGTTCGATAGGTTCGATCCTTCGTTGTAACGCGGCAGGTTGGCATACGTTCGGCGTCTGGGTGAGTGAGGGACGATGTGAACTAGAGTGTCCTTTTGCCGACTGGCGTCTTCCTGCTCCTGACGTATTTCTGGTGATGGGGTGGAAAGTGAGGTGTTATAAGGATGCTTTACAAGAGTGCAAGTGACTCCCTTGGCTGATCGCCGCAGGCCGCGATCGCGCGGTCATAACTACTCGTTCTGAGATGATGACATGCTTCCGTGCGGCGTAGAAGCGACCTTTCCACACACAAACACTCACTCGCTCTCTCACTCACTCGGTCACCACGACTGAGCGAACATCGGTTTGACTGGAGCCTGGAACTTCTGCTTCCCGTAAGTCTATGCCCAGCCTTCGCATCTACTACACAAGTGCGCGAAAGCGGTAAAAATATGTGCTTCTTGATGTGGGCTGGAATTTGGGGAAAGGGAGACTCGGGGGCGGCAAGGCAAGGCTTCAGCCACGAGAAAAAGTCGCTCCGATAATGATGTATCTGTGAAGTCTACATAGGGAAATTACACTGGTTTTGCAGGGATTCCTTCCCGGACTCTATCATCCGAAGGAAACTCCTTCTGGCTGATCGAGGACGGGTAGGGTGGAAAACCATTACTGTAACACTTAGTAGTTGAGTGCTCAAGATGTTTTCAAGTGGGGTAGGAGAGGGGGGTGGCGAGTATTTGCGATAACAATTGTTGGGTGTTCCGCTTCAGTAGACTGACAACTTACAAGAAAGCCCACGGTAAGGCGGGGTGCATGGACGTGAGGTTGGTACGGTGGATGAATCTGGCCTAGACTTCAAGGCGAGGGGAGAAAGCGTGCTTGAGAATTGGAACACCCTACGGGAACAGTGCTGAATTTGGGGGCTTTGTTGGACAGAGAGTAGGTGTGGGGGCCACTGACTGGTTGAGCCATCCAAGCTGAAGGCAGGCGTACTGCATAGACGGGACGACGACGACAGCCATTTTGGCGGCTCACCCACGCGCAAGCCGAACGGGCGAATGGGAGGACAGTTCGGATGACAGCAAAGCAATGAGCAAGGCAGTATGCATGGGTTCTGCAAGATGCCCATCTTCTGTAAATGGGTAGAAAACTCCTTCCAATGCTGGTAAAAGAATTAACAAAGCCAGAAAGAATCGAGATTTAGTTGAGGGCCTACCAAAGTACCCCCTGATTCCTGGGAGTTCACACCGCGCTACCGCCACCGATAAACACAAGGTATGAATGGATTACGCCCAAACCACGACGGAGAATGTTGTGAGAAGGGTGCACGGAACTGAAGCGTACGACGCCGTTTCATCAAACTGCATCGTCCAGGTCAGACATTGACAGACACCACCACCATGAACCAAACGAAGTCAATTGCATTGCGACACAGGGAGCGAATCCGCCACCAAAAAAACGATGTGGGTCGCATCGCATCCCGTGGTTTGACTGTGTCGCATCTAGGCACAACCCACATGGCACGACGATCTTATCCGCAAGATGTGGCCCGTTGGATGACTGAATGCAGCACAGACTTGGGGCATCGTGGAAAGCGATTCATTACAGTTGCAATTGAATCCTACGGCGAGGATTGCGAGATGCCAAAGAAATGGATACCTTTTCAAGGTCCACGTCACGGCCCCCGTACCCACCACGAACATGCGTCACTTGAAGTTCGGCTTTCATCGCGTGTCGGTCTCTTGTGCCCTTTTTGGACTTCCCTGACACGTGGGCGTGCAACACTGGACAATTGGGCTTCTAGACCATGTTGCCTGAACCAGAGTTATGTGGACTTCCAGAGATGATGGATTCAACACTTGCGGCCCAACAGCTCAGCAGCACCAACTCACAAAAACTGTAGGTGCCGCATTCTACACTACATGCATATGGGTGTGTGCACAGCTATTCAATGCCAAGTGATTGTATGACATGCACTCAAAAGGGAAGCTGAATGGTTTCAAGGCGTTTCCAGATTTACATTTTTTCACAAATTTGGTTTCAGTTGCAGCTCGGTTTGCAGCAATATTTTACCGGTTCTGTGAGATGCAGCTATCTCGAGTACGGTACGTTTTAACAAACAAAAAAAACTATTTGGAAACTCCCTCAGCTTTCTTGTTCACCCACAAAGGATGCAACAACTCTCTTGGAAAGGCATAACTTGTTCATGGAACAAGTCTATCCTATGTGCATTCCAATTAACTGACTCCATATATGCTTCCTAATTTAATCGGCATAAAGTGTCTACATATAGGCTGTACAAATTGTTAGAAAGCTAAGGAGCTAGGTAGGAAGCAGGCCACCTGTTGAAAATACCTCAAGGACTTAAGTGTTTCTGAAGTGTAACACCACACTCGAGTGAAGCCGTATCGAGTATGCGAGTCAACGGAGGTTACACGAGGAGGTTGGACGAAAGAACAGGAAAGGACGAAAGTCTTGAAGGGTCGCAACCGGAGGTTGCGACTGACCGTTACAACTGCAAGGGTGGTAACCGAATCGACCATCGAGTCGCTGTGCGACTCGATAACCGTTCCTTCAACTGTATTCTACAACTGCTTTACTTTCCTATTTTCTATATATTGTTGTATGCTTGTTCCCTTTAATCAATCACTTACTCTCACATACTAGTGCAAACGTTCAACTACTCAGCTTCCGCTGCACTACTCAAGCATCCTTGTACAACTGGGACTTAGTCTCTGAAAGATCCTAAGGGCTTTTTCTCAGCCCAACACCCCCAAATTGGTTTTGGGGGACGCTGATCCCTCAGTGTCCCCTGCCATTCCTTGGGTTGGTCATCAGCGTCGCCCCCTGAAAAAAGGCTGAAAAATCAGGGTAGCCTAAAAAAAAGCGTTGATCAATCAGTGTTGCACCTAGATTTTACGCTGATCCAAAGATTCCATTGAAAATGTTGTGATATAATTGGTACTTAGCATTTCTGTAAGCCGATTAAGTATAGTTAGTGTCGAATCTTACTGTAGAAGATAAGTCCGTAGGATGACGTCAGCAAATAGCGCTCGTCATAGGACAGTCGTTTCGGTCACGCGAACAGTCGCACCTCTTCATTATCATCTAGGGCGCATAGCGCGATACTGACGAACAGGTACATTAGCGAATAGGTACTTTTCGTAGAACTATAAATCTCTGTCAGGTCTTTTCATTATTAACTTTGATTACACGCAAGTTCACGTACTCATGTTATTCAACCTTGACAGTTACTTTTTACAAAGACTTCCGCTGTCTTACTAGTCTATCGTTCCAGCAAAGATCCTGGACCAACACTTGAGGATTTGACAAGTGTTCGTGTTTATAGTTTTATACTTAGTCTACTACAACACCAGACGATTTACTTCATGGTATGAGAGCTATCTGGAATTAAGACTACCGTCAACTATGACTGGTCCAACACCAGCACCATCTGCTGGATCAGTTACTGGGACTACTGGAGCACATGCCTCCACTACCGCCGCTGGTCTCTCAGCCTCTGGGCACTTTCCACCAGCCTACGCTAATATCGGTATGCAGAATCCGCCTTCTGTGAATACTCCAGGTGCTCCATCGACTGCACCTGCAACGCAACAGCAGCAATCATAGACAACAGCACAGCAACAAGCATCAGTACAGCCACCAATTACAACGCAATCAATTTCAACTGCGTTCAGTGGGATGAGCCTTGACGGCTCAAGCTACATGCGTGGAGCTACAGCTCCAAATACTGGTTCGTTTGCCTTCTCACCTTTCGTACAGCAGCCACAGTCGCAGCAGTTTCAGCATCCCTTTTATATCTTCGGCCGTTCTCCTGCTCAGCAACCACAGCAAGTACAGCAACAGCAATATCAGCAACCACAAGTACAGCAACTACAGCAACAGCAACCACAACAACAGCAACAGCCAGGCATTGTTTTTCAGCCCCCAAATCTACTTAATAATACTCAAATCAAGACAACCGTACCTTTTAATGGTGTTGACTTCTACTCCTGGAGCTTTGAGTTTGAGCTTCTGGCGCAGTCCGCTGGGCTATGGCCGTTCTTCACTGGCGAGTTTACGTATCCTGTCGTGGGAACACAACAGGAGCAGCAGAGTTTCTTGCACGCCTCTCTCGGGGCGTATACAGTTCTTGTACGAAACTTGTCGCCGAAGGAGCAGCTCGGCGTTCGATCATTTCACTCAAGTTTCACACCAGCCGAAACTGCATGGAACCATTTGAAAGGGGTATACATGGCAAAGGATACGATAACAGTGAGTAAAATCCTTTCGCAGCTGACAAGTGTGCAGATGATGACAACCGAAAATGTCATGGACTACGTTAACCGAGTCCGTACACTACGCGATCAACTGGAAAAGAGCAGAGGATACTTCCCTCGTGAGATGTATCTCACTGTCCTTCTTGCTGGACTTGGACCCGAATGGCGACAGACGCGCGCCTTCCTACGCATGAATCCCAACCTCTCCGAAGCTGAAATTTCTTCTTATCTTCAAGCCGAGCAGCAAGGTCTTGACCTGCAGTCACAACGCAACCAGAAAAGGGGGGTTCATTTAAGTTTTTACTCTAATCCAGAAACACAGCATCGACATCCACCAAAGTATCCGTTCTGCCATTTCTGTAAGAAACCAGGACATTCTTACCAGAAATGTCGCAGCCGCCATCAACGTCGCAGCACTTCGCAGCCGTATCACCGATCGCAGCAGTCACCGAAGACACAACCGCCACAGCAGCAGTTACCGTCTCAGCAGCAGCAGATGCCAAAACCACCGCAGAGTTCATCAACGTCGCAGCAGCGCCCGCCGGTCTTCGCATATGCCACATCAGGAAATGGAGTTTTTGGATGTGTTACAACAGTTGATGTTTCAAAAACAGATTTCGAAACCCGACTTGAAGAAACAACAAGTGCTGAAGGCATTCCTTTACCTCAAGTTTACGCTAACCTTGCTCGCATAATTTCAGGACCAAATACCTGGTATCTCGACAGCTGCTGCGGATGGCATATGTGTTCTGCCGAAACAAGCTTTATCACGAATCAGCGTCCGCTTCGTCGTCCGATACCTGTCACAGTAGCCAAAGGACAAACGATAATGGCACGATCAGTTGGCAGTGTCATGCTCAAATCTATCGACACGGGATAGTCACTTCATGTTACAAATGTTCTTATCGTCGCCGGTCTTGGCTTCAACCTTCTTTCTACAGCTCAACTCCTGGCACACAAAATTCGCACACAAGGAAATTGTGAGACGATGGATCAAGAGCTCTGGCACAGTACAACTATTACCTACCTTGGTCGTGCCGCCACCCAACATGGTATGTCGGTACTTCAGTTCGCAGCACAGGGAACTTCAGGCGATTCTGAACGCGTCCTTGCACTTGGTCCCTGGGATCACCCAGAAGAAACAGACTATCAACACGTGGACATTGACTTTCGAGCAACCACTGTACCAACAGCTTCTCGAACTGCAGCAGCCGTACTTACCGCGTTGGATACCTGGGAGTTTAATACCGCCGATGAAAGCGCCAACGCTTGGCGCACCTTTTGTAATACCCGAGCAGCCTTTCAAGGAACTCCAGCACCACTTTGGGGAGAGATAAGTGGTCTTGCAGCTAATGAGCCTGACGTCGTTGAAGAAGCAGAACAGGAAGCCGTAGCTGAGCAGCCGAGTCCAACAGTAGCTGCCGCCGAAACACCTGCCACGACATCAACAGAAGCAGCATCAAAAGTTATACTCGCAACTGCAACAGCACCAACAAACGTCACTTTACCTCTTACTCGTTTCATCGAAGGAGAAACTGACAAGTCACCAGCTCTTTCTCCTTTTCTACTTTCTTCTTTTTATACTAACTCTGATTCTTATCTGCGATCATCAGGACACAAAACCATAGAGGATATATGGCATCAAAGGTTAGGGCATCCATCACAAGGGATTCTAAATCATTCAATCCGAGCAGCAGTTCTTGATAAAAACAGTTTACTTTTACCTGATGGCACGGAGATGAAGCCGCAGTCCCGTCCGACGGTTTGCACCACGTGTCCAGTTGCCAATCTTACGGACGATCCATTTCCAAGTCATTTTCCCGGCTCAACCCGTTATAAACTGATGCAGAAAGTCTACAGCGACATACTCAACTTGTCTGAAGCAGGACCTAAAGAAGAGAAGTATGTGATCACTTTCATCGAAGCGTCCACACGGTATGTCTGGACAGCCAACTTACCTGCGCGCCATCTCGCTCACTCCGTCTTCGTCGCGTGGCTCGCTGTCGCTGAACGAGAGTCAGGAGTGAAACTGCAAAAATTTCAGAGCGATGGTGCAGGGGAGTACACCAGCAACACCTTCACAGACTACCTTCAGACACTCGGCATCAAACGGAAGCAGTCGCTGCCACATGCACACTAACAGATGGGGGTAGCAGAAAGGATGAACAGGACTCTGCAGGAGAAGATGCGTGCTCTGCTGACGCAGGCAGCCCTTCCACCGCAATTTTGGCCGTATGCGATGGACCACGCCGTGCTGTTACACAATCTTCTTTCTTCAACGTCCCTGCCCGAGTTCTCTTCTCCACACCTGCAGTGGACACGTACAATGGGGAGCACAAAACTTTTACGAGTTTTTGGGTGTGTTGTACAGTTTCGTCCTCCAACTGCAGCTCTCGGCAAATTTTCCGAACGAGCAAAATGGGGGGTACATCTCGGCATCGAAAAACAGTATCATGCGTGGAAGATTTTGGATCTCCGCTCAAACCAAATCATCCCGTCACGTGATTGTCTTTTCTACGAAAGACTCACCTTGCCCGTTTCTCGTGCCCACCAGGCAGCAGCTGCCAACCCTGCCAGGCTGTTCGAAGGCTCGTGTGCGTTTGCCACTGACGAGGCTGAAGCCGCTGTACAGGATGAAGCAGTTTCTGAAGCATCCGAAGCTGCCGCAACTGACTTTCCCGAACGTGTAACCTCGACTGGCATACCTGAATTCATTCCTCTTGCAGATGCTGACCTGGATGATGTTCTCGAACGTGTTACACCTGACGAAATTGGGGGGGAAGAAGGACCAAAAGAAAATTTCGCAGGTGCAAACGAAGAACGTCCGCGTTTTACAGAAACAGGATTGCAGATACTGGGATTTGCAGTAGCAGTACAGCGCAACGACAGTAAGATACCTGAACCGAAAACCGTCCGACAAGCTCTTACGAGTCCTCACCGAGAAAAATGGCGCGAAGCTATGGACAAGGAGCTAGCAGCACTCAGGAATCGTGGTACATGGGATTTAATCCCGACTTCAGAGGTCAAAGGGAAGAAGGTACTTACCGGAAAATGGGTCTTTCGCGTCAAGGCTAATGCAGATGGGTCGTTTGAAAAGTTCAAAGCACGATGGGTCGTCCGCGGATTCGAGCAGACTCACGGCATCGACTATGAACTAACCTTTGCTCCTGTCGGTCGACATACAAGCGTTCGGATTCTGCTTTGTGTCGCCGCCTGCTGTAATCTACGTCTTCGCCAAATCGACGTCTCGAAAGCGTTTCTCTACGCGCCTGTCGACGCACTCATCCTGGTAGAGTACCCACATTCTTATACTACTAACCCACCGAGCGTTTGCCGTCTACGGAAATCTCTGTATGGCATTAAACAGGCACCACGGCTCTGGCAGCAGTATCTTCACTCGCAGCTGATCACTGCCGGTTTTCGTCAACTACCGCATGATCAGGGAATGTATCTACTGACCGACGGCAGCAACTATATTCTACTCATTGCCTACGTCGACGACATCCTATACGTCAGTACTACAGATTCTCTTGCCGAGACCTTCATACTAAAATTACAGAAAAATCTACAGCTTACCGTCTCCGAAACAGTCTCACAGTTTCTTGGACTGAACATTACATGTTCACCGACAACTATTCATCTCACCGCTTCGAAGTACGCAGCAGCTCTCGCTGCCCGCTTCAACCTCACGCCTACTACAGTCTCTACACCGTACCGCTCACTACCGACTGACCACAAACCGAACACCGCACTGTTAACTTCAACTGGTTTACAAATCTATCAACAGCAACTAGGATGTCTACTCTTCGCCGCTGTCACTTGTCGTCCTGATCTAGCCTACACGGCCAGTCAACTCTCTCAGTTCCTACGCCGTCCCGAAGAGGAGCATCAGCTTGATCTACTTCGTGCGCTTCAGTATTTTATCTCGACACCTGACGTCGGATTAGTCTACAACGTCATCGGCTGTAAAACACTCTATCTACATGGTTTTGTCGACGCCGATCACGCTGCTGATTCTACTAATCGACGGTCGCGCACTGGGTTCATCTATCGACTGCAACCTATCGGACCTATCTCTTGGAATTCTACGAAGCAGGAGCTAATTGCACTCTCCTCTGCTGAAGCTGAGTTTATTGCTGTCTGCACAGCAACACGCGAAGGACTTTACTTAGAGGAACTGTTGGAAGAAGCGAAGTTGACGATGACTACCCAGTTTACCCTACAGTGCGACAATCAAAGTGCAATTCGCATCGCACATCAACCTGGTTTCGTCAACAGGACGAAGCATATTTCGCTTCGTTACTTTTTCGTCAACGATGAAGTCGAGAAGGGGAGGATGCGATTGGTCTACTGTTCGACCAACGAAATGGCTGCCGATTTTCTCACGAAGAAGCTGACACGACAGAAGTTTCAGTACTGTAACAAGCTCTGCGGAATCTTCAAGAAGTGACACTATCGACGTTCCAGAAATAAAGGGGAGTGTTGTGATATAATTGGTACTTAGCATTTCTGTAAGTCGATTAAGTATAGTTAGTGTCGAATCGTACTGTAGAAGATAAGTCCGTAGGATGACGTTAGCAAATAGCGCTCGTCATAGGACACTCGTTTCAGTCACACGAACAGTCGCACCTCTTCATTATCATCTAGGGCGCATAGCGCGATAGTGACGAACAGGTACATTAGCGAATAGGTACTTTTCGTAGAACTATAAATCTCTGTCAGGTCTTTTCATTATTAACTTTGATTACACACAAGTTCACGTACTCAGGTTATTCAACCTTGACAGTTACTTTTTACAAAGACTTCCGCTGTCTTACTAGTCTATCGTTCCAGCAAAGATCCTGGACCAACACTTGAGGATTTGCCAAGTGTTCGTGTTTATAGTTTTATACTTAGTCTACTACAACACCAGACGATTTACTTCAGAAAATACCGTAGTAACGAGATATTTAATATGAACGTTCACACGAAAACGAAGGCCTTGTTCAAAGAATCAGACCGAAAACAGAACTGAGTGGCCCAACGAGAAAGTTCGACTTATTTGACGGTCCCATAAAATCGATCCCACACATAGGCATCACGAAATTGATGGCCAAGAAATGTGAAATAGAATTGATTGGAACGTGAGCCGTTCGATCGTCGTCAAAAGTCAATCTATGAACAGCGCCACACAAATTGCAATCGTTTGATTGGTTGGCTGGATTTTGTCAGGTTTTGTAGGCGTGCGCAAAAGTTTTGGACGGGGGGATGTTGTGGGTGGAATGTCTCTCTAGCCTAAATATGGAGGACTCGGCTGTAAATTCTAAGTTTTGCCGGGGGGTCGGAGGATCGTCTCTTTTTGTGAGGACTTAGCCGAAAACCAGCGGTTGCTAGTAGTGTTGGAGAAACGTCTAGTATAAATGACTTAGTCGATATTCAGTTGTTTCAGGGGGGTTTGGAGGATTTCGCGTTCGGACTTCGCCGATCTGAAGTGTGTGGGTGGGAGGGTTGTCTCTAGATATGGGGGGCTTAGTCGAAATTTGTGTTCAGTGTACAGCCCCCCTATAGCGCTGGGGCATCAGTGTAAACTTGTACAAAAACGCTGAAATATCAGTGTAGGAACACAAAACTTTGCTGAAAAATCAGGCTAAGGGTAAAAAAAAAGGCTGAGCAATCAGCGTAGGTACCAGAAAAAGGCCTGAAAAAAAGGCTGAATCAGCGTAAAAAGGCTGCAATTTGGGGGCCTGGTAGGAAGACATGAAAGGTCGAGAGGTTTAAGATGCTAGGAGGAAGTTACGAGAGAAGAGAGAGTTGGAGTAGAAGAGGAAGAGATACAAGAAGGGGGGGTTGTCCACTTTACAGTATGTGTCAACATATACGTATGTTGTATGTAGAAGAGGGGCCCAGATTCGTTTTGGGGCACGTTGATCGCTCAGGGTCCCCCCCTCGCAGCTCCCTGTTTTTTCAGGCCTCGAAAAAAAAAAAAAAAAAAAAAAAAAAAAACAAACAAACAAACAAAAACAAAAACGCTGATCCATCAGGCTGTTGTATAAATTTTGCGCTGAATAAACAGGGTCAACTACAGAAAACACGCTGTTTAAAACCGGACGGCAAAATAGCAGAGCTCCCTCTTGATTGTTGAGTGGGTGCAAAAAAACGAAGTCCCGAAACCTGGCGAAAAAAACGAAACGTCCCAGTGCCCCGAAATTTGTAACTATCTGAAAACAAAATAGGGTTGCACAAACCCTATTGGTTGCGTGAGTGTTTCAGCCAATGTGGGCTCGAGGCGAAAAACTATTGACAGCCTAGCGCGTCGTGCAACCCCCTCTGCGACGTTTTTCGCAGGCCATGTGGGCCTCGGCTTTTTCTGCAAGGGGGGTTCAAGAGGGACCCCCCTCCGCTATTCCTGTTTTTCGTGCATTCCCTGGGCGAAAATCAACTGGGGCCCTACTTGATGACCAAGTGGGACCCGTTTTTACGTGGCAAAATCGCGTGCCACGTCGTGCAGCCCACAACACGCTGTTCGATATTCGGAGTTCAGCTATTCGCGCTGGGCAGCGTTGTTCGCGCCACTGCCCAGCCTCGAAGACAGCGCTGGGCAGCGCTGTATCGAACACGCGCTGTTCGATACTCTAGCATTCAGGACTTCGTCGAAATTTTAGAGCAGCGGGGGGGTTTCCGAGGGTTTTCTCTAACTTTCAGGACTTAGCCAATCTTTTGGAGAAGCGGGGGTTTTCAGAGGGTTGTTGCTAACTTTGAGGACTTAGCCGAAATCAGCCCCTGCTGTGTCAAGTTGGCGTGATTGACAGGGAGGGTGGGGGGGAAATTCGGAAATAACGGGTGGGGGGGTTGGGGCTCGGAATCCGCTATTACACGTAGTGTCAGGGTCGGTCCCTTATACGGCGCTGGAAAAACAGGCCTCATTACACAAGTCACGCTAATCGATCAGAGTTCACTTCTAAAAAAAAGTGGAAATTTCAAGCCCGTGTTACAAAAAAAACCCTGAAACATGGTAAAAAGCGAACCCCGAAAACAAACCCTGATTTTACCCGGAATCAGGGTAAAAAGCCTGCAATATGAGGCCCTGATGTAGAAGT